GCCCAAAATGCTGGGGTTGCGCGCCTGCCATCTCCAAGGGCTACAACATCATGCTGAGATTCCTGCTACATCCAAGGGTGGTGATATCTTTCCTATCCCCTCTTTCTCCATCTCTCTTTGACTCTCTTAATGTCTGTCTGTTTCTCCCTCCTTCTTTTTCTCTCCGTTTCTAACCTTATTCTTGGCGCCTAAGGGTAACATAATTTCTAATTTTCCGAAGTCCTTCCAGTTGCAACCTGTTTCAAGAATGTAATTTTGCTAAATTCTGTTAGTTGTAATCTGTTGGTTTGAGAGTGATAATGTTGGGTTTTTTGACAAGCTTCGTAATTCTACTAAATTCTAAGTAATGTTTTATATAAGCCTCCTGAGTAATGGTCTTATTCTTAAAACACCGCTAAGAGAATTCCAGAGGTTACTCTTGCTGACTGGGTTGCTAAAAGTGATTACTCAAGAGAGGAAGATTGGATCCAAATCTCTCTGGGTCAACCCCACCTCTGGGGAACTCTACCCATGCCGACTTTGTGGAATGTGGTATTTCATTTGGGTCTTCATCTCTGCGGGAGCCCTGTCCACTTTGTGGAATGTGATGAGGGCAAAAGAATAAAAACGTTTTATCTATGTGAACACACAATTTGACCATTGGGCAACTTGGTCTACAAACTGGAGACAACAATTTTAGCAATTAAAACACAACCTGTAGTTTTACGTTTGTTTTTCTTCCAGTAAAGCGCTAAACATTATGGCACCTTAAATTACTGCAAATGTCTGTTTTGAAATAGTTACGTTTTGTTTTCATACATCTTTCCCCACTAACTTAGCCTGCACAGTAGTGCATCATGTAAAAAGCTGTTGTGTTGATGTGAAAATGATGCATGTGGAATTTCACCAGTCATTGGTTTCCAGGCCCAATGTATGTACAATCCAAACAAGGCTTTTTCTCTTCCAGACTTCATTTCGAGGTAATTGGATATTTTGTGCACAGGGATTTAATAAAACTGCTACTGTGCTTCTCTTAAAAAATTACATACATCAAAGTACATGCAGTTAAACAGTGTGACAGTAATTCACTCCCTCATCATTCCTGCACTGTTGAAATGATAAATGAGCCAACAGAGACATTCAAAAACCATACAGCAGATTTTGATGATGCCACATTACTCCTTAAAATGAGGAAATTATGAAACTTAAAATTGTGTATAACATTAGAACTAGATTTGATAATGTAGCTTTGAGTGCCCTGTGTCTCAGTTTAAGTCAGTTTATGGCTGATTACATGTGAGGATGGGTTGGGATCATGCAGATTATCAGCTGAGTTTTTTACATTTAGATGTCAGTTATGCTGGCTTTTGGAATTGGATTGATTTTTACAACAGAATGTCATTATAGAGCTTGCAGTGACATCAAGGACAGAACTAGAGCTTGATCTTCCTCTACAGAAGCTCGTTAGAGATTCACATAAGAAGACAACCAGCACGTGCTATTGCCATGGAAACAAGATGGAATGTTATGAAGCAGTATAGTCCATATTCCAAAATAGAGAGAACAAAGTCAGAGCAATTATAGCACAAGACAGACAGGCTTTTTCTTTGCAGCCTGTATGGATCAAAGCAAAACTTGTGCTCTTTGAAATAAAAATCACCAGTTCAGTTTTAGAACTCTGGTTTCAGTTCCTCCTTTCCAAGCATGAAAACTCAAAAAGTCAAGCCACCTAGTTTAGTTTATGTTGCATGGGAGGAAGAAGGCTTATTGGAGGCAGAAGCACCACAGCAGACGTGTATGTGTGATGATGTGCAAAGTATTGACATTACAGAACTGATAGAGGAGTAAATCAAGTTCAAGCCAGGCAGTGAGGTACTGATAAATCAGAGGTGAGCAAAACCAGCAGAAGCTGAGAATCTGGTAAGTCATTAAGATGCAGAAGAAAGTCTAGTTTCAAACACAATGGCTAGCCAGTACCAGGTAGCCAGAACGCAAAAGATAACATTTCTTGTGATTTGTGTTAACTAGGTAAGGCTTTCTTATGTTTCTAAGGTTTCTTATGTTTCTTAGATCATGAAATGCTTTTGGACATCCTTGAAATACTGTATATGTACAATATGTATGTATACAACATGTAGGCAGCTCCTTGTGACTACACACACACAAAGATTTTTAAGCCATTTACAACAGCTCTGTCTTGTCTAGAGAATTCTTACCATTGTAAGAGTTTCGACCATTGTGTTCAAGTACTAGCTAGTAAGTATGAACACTTTTTTTTTTTTTTGTGTGTGTGTGTGTGTGTGTGTGTGTGTATGAGTTTAATAGAAAAACATTTAGGAATTCTATGCTAACAGAAGCAAGAGCTTAGAGACATACCTTACCCTTCATTTAGAAAGCCTGGAATTGCCACTTAATTCACACATGGATTCTTCCTTAAGGGAACATTTGTAAATTCCAACTAAAGGTCCAGGAACCAAAGTTCTATTGTTATCACTTTAAGTGATGCCAGTGTGGGCAAAATGTATCTTAGAAAATACAAACAAAGAGAGCAACAGTGTTTGAGGAATATTCAACAAGCCTTGGAAGGCTCTGCCATGAGTTTGCTGTGAGATTCAAAAACACGAGTGGTAAAAGGGAAAATAGTACAGCACACAGAAAGCTTGAGACCTGAACCAGGTTTTGGGAAGCCTTCCAATGCTTGCATATGGGAAGTGCAGTATGCCACTATTTAATTGTTATAAACTCCACAAATTGTTACCCAGTTAAGGAACTCGTATGTTTGCCAGTTTAAATGGCTTCAGAACTGATAGGTTATGTTCACTGTTTTAATTCTGTTTAATTCTTGACTGCTTGTGTTTTGACTGGAAAAGGGTACACAAGACACTGTGATTCTGAGTGAAGATTCTAAATGGAAAATTTAATTTTTGTTGCAAAATTTTGTTCAGGTAAAACATACAAAATTTAATAGTAGTAAGTACCTTTATTAGAAGCAAAATACCAGACATGTTGTTAAAAAGAATACCAGATCAATTTTCTCACTAGCACCAGGCAAAGAGATACAATGGGATATGGTTGACAAAAATACTGGAAAATCACATTCTTGGTCATCTTTGCATTTATACTTTATCTCCCAAACTGTTAAATACAATTCAGTAGTGCTAGCAACTACTTTTTTTTCCCTTTTCCATTCTTTTTTTTTTGTCCACTGGGGTTTTTCTTCTCTTGCTCTGCTTGCAGGGCTGCTTCCTGGGCTGCCAGCTCTTCCTGTCTTTTGCGCTCAGCCTCTAGCAGCTCATTTGTGTATGCTTCCCGAGAGCTGTGAACTCTGCCTCGTGCTTCATCTAAGGATGCCTACGCAAAAAGAACAGCAATACCCCCCAACACATGAATCTTGATTTCATCACAAGCAACTGCCTCTTCCTGTTATGTATCACTTGGTGACTCTGTAAGTACACGGAGGGCATTTCTCCTTTTCTTTTTATGTGTATTTTTATTGATTTGTCACAGTGATACAGCTAATGTCAATCTTTTCACCATGAAGAAGAGAAATTTTATTAAAATCCTTTTGAAGTTAACTGTATAAAAGAAGGATAGGGCGAAAGACTAGTGACCAATCGGGGTCTAATCCCTATTAAGTTGCTGGCTGGCTTTGTTGTTTTAAATGTTTAAGTCTCTTAAAACCTAGTTTTCAGCAATGCCAAAATGGTTTACGAGCTTTTGTGTTTTAAGAGACTAAAGGAGCTTAAAACACATTGACCTTGAATGAGGCTTAGGGCAAGTGGGACTTGGACTCTTCTGAAAACTTGTTCCTTTGCATTTCCATCTTGGAAAATGGGGATACCTGGATACCTTGATATAGTTCTCTGCGGTCTACAGATGAAAATACTGTAAAAGTGCTAAACAGCACAGTATGCATATTCACAAGTAACTGTCATTTAAAATTAGTACTGTGAAACATTTTCAATGGACATACTGTCCTGAAAGAGCCAAGAAGTCATTGGTAGAGAACTATGGCTCCTTGCAAACTTGCAGTCAAGTAATAAAAATCAGGCCTTCTGGGAACTTGTTAAGGAAATGTTTTAAAGTGATTTTTGTAAATAGGTGGGGTTGAGAGCTCTGACTGGTCACCAGCTGATTACTAGTGGTTATTTTATCACCACTGTGTAACAAAACTTTATTCCTGTTGACACTCAAGGGTTAAATGCATTTTGTTAAGATATTTGTACCAGATTCATGTGCAGTGCATTGGCTGAGTTAATCCTAATAATGGATCCTACACTAATGGTACCAAATTTATTATTTATATACTTTAAAAAAAAAGGATTGTTAATTCATTTTTTTTTATTGTTGCCATCATGCATATCCCAGGAAAACTGGTCTCTAACTTTGTTGAAAGAGACATTACGGGCAGCTCACCCTTCTATGTAAATTACCTCATTCTTTATTACTTGCCAACAAGCCCTATGCAATTTTGTAATTAAAAAAAATAAAATAGCCAAACCAGAGATGTTTTATCTAATATGCATCTGGTCATAGATATAAAATGCTCAATTTAGTCTCACTTTAAACTATCCTTTTATGGTGATATTCTTAAAATAGTGGTTTTGCAAGGAGCCGTCTTGCTCCTTGTACTAAGAATCAAGTTAGTATTAATATCATATTAAGGATTATAAGAAAGTACTAAGAATATCATATTAAGGATGTTGTGTATTACTATTTTTCTTTCCTCAGACCTTTAATATTTCCTCAGACCTTTGCCCAACTGAAATTTCAAGCTTCTTGACTCTTTCTAATTATTTGTACTGAATACAAAAGTCTTGAGAATGGTTGACCAAGATACTCATATTCATGGTAGCTATCTCAGTAATAGTTACTGGAAAGTAATGTTGAAAACCTACCTGCAGATTCTCATACATTTCAAGTAAATGTTTCTTCAATAAAGCTCTGGCATTTTGTTGTTCTTCTCTTTGTTTCAAGGCCAGCTTTTGAAGTTGTACATAATGGTTGATTTTATCTGCTTTAGATACCTCTTGGTGTTGAATGCTAGATATAGACACTGTTTTTCTGAAAGAAATACAAAGATATTTGTCTCATTTAAAATACGCTTTCAAGTGGTGTGTTGCTGAACACCTATATACAATGTCACCATCATATGGTGAGATATGGTTAGATACCGTAAAGGACACACTTTTCCTCTGCTTATATATAAACTTGATGAGAAAGTACATTCCTGAGGCCAGGTCTTCTTATAGTTGAGTATCTATTTTAAAAATATTTGTAAAATCATGCTAATCTTTCAGCATATGAAAAACTCCTACATATGACACTTACTTTTAATTTGCAAGAAATATAATATTCCCAGAAGTTTTTTATATTATAATTCAGCATTGAGACAAATGGAAATTTTTTCTTTTTTGCCATCGGCATAATGGCAGCTAAGTGCATAATATATTTTTGTAATTTGACTTAAATGACTAGTGAAAAAGTTAAGGAGTTGAAGACAAATGAAATGCTTACAAAACCTAAGCCTGTGAAAGATATTTTGCCATATTTTTTACTCTTTTAATGCTATTCACTTTAATATAACACCTGTTTCCCCTTCTATTTAGAATTAAATTTGGGGATTTTTTCACCACGTTCTAAGGTCTTTTGAAAATCAATGCACTGCATAAATGCCACATTGCATACAAATGTACTTAAGCATGACCTGGGTTCTAGCTGCAGCACAGCAAACAGGCAGCTGCATGTCTTCTAGCCAGTTAGATTCGTATCAACACATGTAATAAAGAATGTAGTTCTTTTGAATAAAGAACATCATAAATAGAATTATTTCAGCTATTACATATAATTATTAACTGAACTGCATTTTTAAAGTATAATATTTGAATCCAGCATCACATCGTGACAAACTTCCAATATGCTTCTTTCTTGATGAGCACTGAAATTAGATTTTAGGTTAGATTTTTTTATGTCACATTCTCTTTACATGTAATGCAGTGATTCAGCTCCTTCAAAATGTATTATGTTAGGGAAAGGACATAAATGATAAATGCATCTAGGAGAGCAGAGATTTTAAAACAAATCCCTGACAGGAAAATCAAAGATTAAAATTGTTTTGTGATGCTATCTACACTACTACAGTCAATACTGAGTGATTTTTTGTACATAACATAAAGAATAGATAAAACATGAGACAAGACTTTCACAGCAACTTTAAAAAGCATGTGACAGAATTGTAGCTTACTTCACTGACACGTGAAGGATAAAGTCTAAATTCACATCTATTATACTGCATCCAATTACAGGTAGGATACAAGTGTATAAAAATATATTGCATTTACTAATTCCTATATATGAAAATCCATAATCAGTCTTTCATTTTGGTGTTTCACTGGGATTTAATTGTTCTTGCTGCAGTTTACCTCATGTAAGGACTAAGGTCTATGAGCTCCCATTTTCTTTGCTGCATCAATGGCTTGAGTGATGCTTTAGTTTCTGTGGTAAGAGAATCTACAACAGAACAGATTAAACTGGTTATTCAGTTATGCTAAACGATATCATTTTTTTCCTCTTTTTCAGCAAAATACATTATTAAATGCGACTGGGTATAGTCTTTCTGCCTCTTTTTTCCAACACTCATAATAGAGTAAAAAACCCTCCACATATGCTAGAGTGAAATTCATACATATATTTTAGTAAAACCCACAGTACGCACAAAGGTTTTTACATCTAAGCAAGAACATTCAATTTAAAGTGCCTGAAGAATAAAAGAACAACCTTTAATGGGGAAGGAATCACATTATTTTTATTTTTTTAAAAAAATAAACAGAAGTCTGATTGTTCATTCCTGGCAGTAGTTAAAAAAAATAAAATTACTCACTTTTGGAAAAAGATTTAGTTTAGGAATTACCCGTCTAAAGAAAAAAGCCTTTTAACATTTATTTATTTATTTATTTATTTATTTATTTATTTATATTTTCCTACCACATGGGTAGTAACCACGTTATGCTTTAATGTAGCATTCTCACAATACAATGACACATCTGATATCAAGCATGCCATTGAGCTGAGCCAACCCTTCCTTCTTGCACTTCATCTGGATGTGCTGAAAATGCCTGTGAAATCTTATGAGCTTGAATGATCACGGCTGTAGATTATTTCAATAAAAACTCTCTTATTGCTCAACTTAGTGTAATAATAAATTGAAACTTTAAAAAAAATTACTGGAATTTTCTTACCAAAAATAGGAAAGAAGTTTCTGAGCATTAAAAGAATTTACTCTCTATATATTTACTGTCTATACATAGATAAATATACCAGCCTTCTCTGTTGGTCTAGAAGGATGACATGGACTTTGGAAATGCCTTAGATGCTGCCCATCAGAAAAGTATTTTCCAGAACATAAAAATTCTATTAAGATACTGAACATTGCAGAAAATGTTAAAGCACAATATTGCCTACTGCTGCACTCTAATGAACCAAACCATAACAGCTTAAATCAAATAAAGTATCACCTCTTTACTTCCCGAGACTGTATTCAACTGTAAATGCTTGGTGTAGAGCAAAGCTCATGGTAGATAAGCATGAATTTTGAAGTTCTTGTCCGGTAACTTAAAAGAAAACATATTTTTTCATGTTTCTTTTGAATGCAAGAAGTAACTAATGATGTGTTTGCTTGCAGCATAAGGTGAGGACTACTTCTGTTTTAAGTTCTGAAACATTCCCAGGAGGAATTACTTAGGTGACTGGAAAAATACTAATTTTAACAAGTTATGTTACTAGTCACAGGCTCTAGTTCCACACACATGAGCCATGACAAAATACTGTCACAATCAGACTGGGTATTATATTTTGTATTTTGTGATCGCCTGATCTCAGCACTATTCTCAGAAGAAAAGAAACAACAAACATCCCTGCAGCCTTGCCCCTAGTTCACATTTTCATCAGACTCCGGTAATTGTCAGGGAATACAGATGAAGAATCCATTGAATTTGTAAACTCTAAATAAAATTAGACAACACTTATGGAGGCTGCCAGGAAGCTGATGCTACTCAGTGTGCACTTTTTTCTAAAGAAAAAAGCCTTTTAACATTTATTTATTTATTTATATTTTCCTACCACATGGGTAGTAACCACGTTATGCTTTAATGTAGCATTCTCACAATACAATGACACATCTGATATCAAGCATGCCATTGAGCTGAGCCAACCCTTCCTTCTTGCACTTCATCTGGATGTGCTGAAAATGCCTGTGAAATCTTATGAGCTTGAATGATCACGGCTGTAGATTATTTCAATAAAAACTCTCTTATTGCTCAACTTAGTGTAATAATAAATTGAAACTTTAAAAAAAAATTACTGGAATTTTCTTACCAAAAATAGGAAAGAAGTTTCTGAGCATTAAAAGAATTTACTCTCTATATATTTACTGTCTATACATAGATAAATATACCAGCCTTCTCTGTTGGTCTAGAAGGATGACATGGACTTTGGAAATGCCTTAGATGCTGCCCATCAGAAAAGTATTTTCCAGAACATAAAAATTCTATTAAGATACTGAACATTGCAGAAAATGTTAAAGCACAATATTGCCTACTGCTGCACTCTAATGAACCAAACCATAACAGCTTAAATCAAATAAAGTATCACCTCTTTACTTCCCGAGACTGTATTCAACTGTAAATGCTTGGTGTAGAGCAAAGCTCATGGTAGATAAGCATGAATTTTGAAGTTCTTGTCCGGTAACTTAAAAGAAAACATATTTTTTCATGTTTCTTTTGAATGCAAGAAGTAACTAATGATGTGTTTGCTTGCAGCATAAGGTGAGGACTACTTCTGTTTTAAGTTCTGAAACATTCCCAGGAGGAATTACTTAGGTGACTGGAAAAATACTAATTTTAACAAGTTATGTTACTAGTCACAGGCTCTAGTTCCACACACATGAGCCATGACAAAATACTGTCACAATCAGACTGGGTATTATATTTTGTATTTTGTGATCGCCTGATCTCAGCACTATTCTCAGAAGAAAAGAAACAACAAACATCCCTGCAGCCTTGCCCCTAGTTCACATTTTCATCAGACTCCGGTAATTGTCAGGGAATACAGATGAAGAATCCATTGAATTTGTAAACTCTAAATAAAATTAGACAACACTTATGGAGGCTGCCAGGAAGCTGATGCTACTCAGTGTGCACTTTTTGACACCTCACTTCCAGAGCAGAACAGTTCCCATGAACATTAACATACAGAAAATGCACAGTAGACACACTAGTGTCTTACTGACATGCTGTTTCAGGTGCTAAACAATTTTTAAGTATTTCTACACTAGTGACCTCTGCTACCCAACTTGGAATTGAGGCAGCTGGCATTTCCTACTGAACTTCCAAAAAATCTATGTTTATTTAGGGTTAGAATTGTAGTACAGGAAGACTGTTTGAAGATTACTTAAGGGCAACTTGGCAGCCTCCAAAAGCCATGAAGCTCTTTCTGTGTCTGAAAACAGAGCAATGCCACAATTAAAACAAAAGAGGATAGAGAATAGAGACTAAACATGCCATTGTGCATTTGGATACCTTTGCTGGGGCTGTTCTGTCCATTTACTACTAGTATTTAATGCAGAAGTATTTTCTAAGGAGCTAAACATGATAAACAGATGATAGGCTTGACAAAAAGTTATACCCTTACCTCCTTCTCCTGAACTAGGTGTTAAATCAGCAATCTCAGTCTCAGCTGTGGACTCTTCTGAATCTCTCAGAGCACACTTATTAATAAACCGTATGCGTTCCTGAAGAGCCTAGAGACCAAAGTTTTAATGCAGATAAGAAAACTTTTACTGCATATTTTAAATCTCAAAGAATTTTCAAAACTAGGAAACTGTAAGTGGTCAATAAGACCATACATCTTCAAATCCAGTGCACGTGAGGTATGATGCTACTTTATATTATTGGTGAGTATACTTTACTGGTTGGATGAAAACATCACTTCTAACAACAGGAATATCATTAGTGAGTCACTGGGAAAAAAAACAGATAATCATAAGAGGACCTATTTTCATGTCAGTCATATTCAAGTCATCTCTCCAGTAGATGATTTGTTTTGTTTTAATGTGTTGCGTCGAGGAGAAATAAATTACCACTACTACTTAAAATTCATCTTTAATTTATCTCAAGCGTGGCTTGAGTATATGAATAAGAATCCCTAAGTAAACCACTGTGATACGGTAGTTCAGTAAAATGAAAAGTAGGCAGTACACTTGGAATGGTTTCACTCCACTCAATGCAAGCTGGCTCTATTTAGTATATATCCCAACTGAAAAAATGCAACTGTCAATAGGAAACCTAACTTACACTAAAGACTGTGATGCAAAGAAATACTGGAAAGTCACTGATCGCTGGGCAGTTAAAAATAATATTTGGATTTCAACAAAAAATAAATAACTCCCTGAAAAGCATGGTCTGTTCCCTCATAGATGAAAGTACAGTCAAAACTCACCCAGCTACTGCACCTCTTTAGGGAAGGGGGTCTTATTCCTAGGAGCACCTATAGCCTGCTGATTTAGGAGTCCTCCTGAGAAACAGGAGCTATGGGTGCAAACCTTTTCACACTCAATTACCTTTGATGCCAAAGCCAGGTGTTGCTGCTTCTGCCTGTCTTTTCAGAATGTGACTTGGGCTGATTGGACTTCCTTGTAAAGGCTCAGATTGTCAGAATGACTGAGAAGCCAGATGTCAGGCTGGAGTCAGGCACCTAATTCCTGGAGTCACACTACATGTGACCCCTGGAAGACGCAGACATTGGGGCAGGGTGATCAGGGTGATCAGAAAGAAAGGAGGAAGGAAGCTACTTAGACTGGATATCAGACCCCCAAGTTAAACCTTCTTTTTTTAGTGTATTATACATAGTTGCTGCATTGTTCTTAATGATGGCTGTTTTACAAAAATGTCACACACCTAAGGGGCTTTTAAAATGGAACCCTTTAGCTGGAATTCAGTTGATGTTCTCACCAAAAAAGGCAATGGTTAGAGAACCAGTATTCTGAAGAGACACATTACACATCAAAGGTGATTCATTTACAGCTAAACTTTAGGATGCTGTACTTGCTTTCTCAGTCTCAGGACAGCCAATTGAAGCTGCAGTGTAATGCATCTCTCCTTAGATCTGAATTTAATAAAGTAGTGTCAGAAGAATTTTTGAGCTTTGGATACACTGAACAGAACTGATAAAATTTGAAAGTGTAACTCAGAAGACCCATGACTGAGGTTCATTTTGAAAAGGCAATATAAAAAAGGCAAAATGCTTCTGAGCTGGGATTTCTGACTGAATACCCCTCAAAGGTCATTGGTGCTGGTGATACAGGATGACTCCTTAGTTAGATTAACTAAGTTTTAAGACTGCATTTTCCTCTTTTATTTTCCTTTTTTTTTTTTTTTTTCTAAATGATTTTTCCAATTTTGAATCAGCAGTTTAAGTTTTTGCTTTGTTAAAAAGAACTTGTATTATTTTTCCATCTTAAACATACATCATGTCAAAAGAGCCCAGCTGCAGCTGATATGTGAATTAGTATTGCCTCTCCAAAACACTGAATTCATAGTGTAGCACATGCAGGCTCATGGGTAACCTGCAACCTAGAATGAAGTTGGGAATCCTGACTACAGGGGACAATTTGAGTGATGGTATGGCCAGAGGCCAGTTCTTCAAGAGAAATCTTTTCGGCATGTTTCTAACAGTGTATTTCTCACTAGGATCTGTTCATGCTAAACATTAAACTTGCCACAAGTAGCAGCTTTGTAGAGGCTTTCTAAGGAGACTTTTTTTTCTCTCTTTTGTAAAGTAAAATCTGAAGTCTTAGTAATCTACAGAAGGCTAAAGGAAATGCTCTGGATTCCTGCTCAGAAGTCATACACATAATCTCTTTTGTTTCACCTCTGTAAAATTTCTTGTCTTCCACAGAGTTGTCATGAGGACAGCCATATGAAGTCCAGTCTCTGTTGTGGCAACTGCTCTACCATCAGAGCAGGTCCTGGAACTTGTGAAGAAACATTACTGCAAAGATTGCACTCTATTACCTTGGCAGCTCTTCCTGGCTCTGCAGACTCCCATGCTTGTTTCATGGCTTTGATCTCATCTGCTCTCTGCGTGTCTTTCTTCACCTCCAAAATGTCTGCCTCTTTCTGCTCACTAACTAGACGTAAAGTCCAGTATGGTTTGATTGAAGCAGCTTCCTGAAAGTGAATTATCATACATGTAATGTATTCATTGCTCTACATCTACTACCACTACCTAGGGTAAAGTTATGTTTCTGTATCCTGGTAATTCTCCTGACTGATTACACATAGATAGACTCTGACATGCATTACTACACGGTCGCTGCCAAAAGGAAAATTACTTCACAATGTCTAGAAGCTCTTTGAGGTAATTTATGTGCTTTCCCCTACTCCCATACAGCTCCACACTCCCAGTTATTTTCAAGTCTGTCTGAACAAGAGTGTTTTGTAGTGATTATTTATTGTCTTATATTCTTGTCAAGATTTTTTTCCTTTTCTTTCCTCCTTTCTTCTTCATTTCACAAGCTTTTTTACTAGAAGTCTTCTTATATTTACAATATTTTTTGTGTAGAAATATATCTTGCTGTGTCTTATGAGGTATCTAGTTCTTTCCAATCATTTCCCAAATTTTCTAAACCACCTTAACACATGACTTCTCCAGAACTGTAGGATTCAAGTACTGCCTCAAGTGTAGGAGACTATTGTGCTGTTCAAGCAGTGAATGGACTGTTGAGCTGCATGTATTTCTGGAAACCATAGCATTTGCAGAAGCTTTAAGCCTAAGATTTAGAAGTAGAGATTTGAGTTCAGCTTTTATTTGACACTAAAGGTAGACATTATCTTTATCTGAAAGCAGTTCCATTTTGAAACTTGGATCTGTTTTAGTGGTAGACTGAAGAAATTCCAAGAGGTATCATCCCATCACCTCCAGTGTACCCCATCAGTGGAGCTGAAGGCAGAAATCAGACACAGCCTGAAGTTGCATTTCTGTGGCGAACAACCTCAACTGCAGGCACTTGGACTGCTCTGAAGGAAGGGTTAAGGCACGATTCTGGAACATGTGTGGGTGTGAATCACAGGGAAGTTTGCTGTGCAGCAGATTTAGTCAACAACATAATTCCCAGTTCAGAATTGGAAGGGATGTCAAGAGATCATCTAGTCCAACTTCCCTGCTAAAGCAGGATTGCCTAGAGCACATTCCTCAGGACTGCATCCAGGCAGGTCTTGAGTATCTCCAAAGAAGGAGACTCCACAACCTCCCTGGGAAGCCTGTTCCACTGCTCTGTCACCCTCACCACAAAGAAGTTTTTCCTCATATTTAAATGGAACTTCCTATGTTCCAGCTTATGCCCCTCAACCTGTCACTGGGAACTACTGAAAAGAGTCTGGATCCCCTCTCCTTGCACCTACCCTTTAGAAACTTAAAGGCATTAATTAGGTGTCCCCTCAGACTTCTCTTCTCCAGGCTAAACTAGTCCCAGCTCTCAGCATTTCCTTATAAGGGAGATGTTCCAATCCCACAGTCATCTTTGTTGCCCTCTGCTGGACTCTCTCTAATAGTTGCCTGTCTCTCGAACTGTGGGGCCCAGAACTGGATGCAGCATTCCAGATGTGGCCTCACCAGGGCAGAGTAGAGGGGGAGAATGACCTCTCTTGACCTACTGGTCACACTCTTCCTAATACACCCCAGGATTCCATTAGTCTTCTTGGCAACAAGGGCAAGGTTTCTTAATGGAAAAACTCTATGGAGATGTCCTCCCCTTGAACTACATGCCATGAGACCGCAAAATTCTCAGCAAAACCAATGCCATTAAGGGATTAAGTTTCTTCTTCACCTTCCATTAATCTCTTTGCAATCCATAAAGTCAATTATTCCTTCTAAGGCCTGCAGGCTGGCAGTAGCCTTTCGGTCAACCATAGAACACTCAGATTATCTCACCATAGATGAGAAGAATTTGCAAGCAGGCAAATAGGTACCAATTTTTGTGCCATTGTAAATCCGCAAGCTGATGACAATTGTGACATATGAGACAGGAACTAACTATAGTGGAAAGACCTAATTAACCTCTCTGGGAACCCATGAAAAGCAGTACATTGAGGGACTAATGGGACATGAATATGGTGAATTCATGGAATTTAATAAACCTTCAGCAGAGACAGAAACCAGAAGAACAAAAGGTACAATCAGTAGGTGCTTTACACATGAACAAAGAAATGAGCACATGGCATGACTAAATGCAGGATGCATTTCTGTTGCATATGTAATCCAATCTCTCTCAGGTATAAAGCCAGGAAGGTGGCAAAACAGGGCATAGAGAAATGCAAGGGATAGGCTAGATGTGCTAGTAATACTGATCTGCAGACCTGAAAATACCTTTACACTCAGGAAAATTATGGCACATTAAAGAAATCCAGTTGTTTGGATTTATTCTCACCTGAGATTCAGGTAGAGATGAAACAGATACTGATCCTCTGTCTTTATTGGACTTTTCTTTTTCAGTTTTCTCAGATACTTTATCTTTTGATTTTCTTGTTGATTTAGGAATACTTGCAGACTTTTGTCCTTCGGAATAGGACACTGAGGGACGGCTCCAGTCCTTAAGCTTTTCCCCACGTTCTATTCAGATATATGTTATGATGCATGATGAAGTGGAGGATACCATTGTCATCCACAAATACATTTCCCCACATAATATCCACGATGAAGTAACAACACAAAACAGCCATACGGAAAGACAAAGAAAACTCAGTTAATTAGTTGACACTTTCAAGTACTACACTAACACTTAATGTTGGACCAAAAAAGAATCTGGGGACAAAACAACTTTTAAAAACAGACTTACAAGGTGGACATACTGTGACAGGCTTATATGTCCTAAACAGCAGGCTACCCAAGGCTTTACTGAGTCCAGGCACATCAGTTGCTGCATTGTACCTTGTGTATGGGTGAGTCCAAAATTTGCAATGAACAGAATCATGGTCTGATTCTTATTTCTCTTATACAGTCTCATACAGTCTCTGTCAGTGTTAATGCACCAGGCAGGTGAGAAGCTCAGAGTAGGTAAAGTCAATGTTTTCCCTGTCTCATATTCTTGAAAGCGTGAAGAGCAGAAGGGAAGATACACCCCACCAAAAGTGCAAGGAAGTTAAGACAAAGAAACACATTTGAGGTTTGATGCATGCTTAAGAAATTAAAAATTATCATTCTCAGAACTAGCCGAGAACATTTTTTTTATTAATTATTTGAGCAGTACATGTGAATGCTATATGTTTGAATTAAAGACGTGGAACACTTATTCTGTGCTGCTTTAGCTGGTGGAAGCTGTTAACAAGAATTTTGCCTGCCATATTCTTCTTAAAATAAATAAATAAAGTCTGCAATAGCATGAGGAACCTGTCAATTGAAACAGCTTTGAATGGGCTCACAACACTATGAGAAAGATTGAAACTGAATCTGCAGTCTCTGTTTCCCTTCACATTCATACTGCTTGAAACATTGAAACAAATGTTAGTCAATCAATAAAACATGGGATTTCTCTTAATAAAAAGGGGAAATCAGTGACTGTTTTACAATCTGAGAGTAATAACAAAGTACCTTTCACTAAATGCTAGGCTTTTTTAATCTCTTTCTACTAAGGACAAATCACTGTGCTGCATGATTTGATCCAAAGTCCACTGAAGACATTCCAGTGGCTTTAAGGAGCTTTGGATCAGATATGTAATGCCATGGCTGAGTTTATATGGATTTATAAAATTTTAAATATTAAATATATAGAAGCATATTTATAATGGACATATAACTACATATACAAATGTATAATGTATAATGTAATACACATATATGTCATATCACACATATATGTGTTTATGTATAAATTGTATTATCCTTATCTCTTCATGTTACTTAAATAGTACACAATGGCACCAAAGTGCTAAGCTTGAATTGATGCAGTGCTACCAAAACATACATTAAAGAGCGAAAGCAAAAATTAAAGTGATCTCCACAAATTTTGAAGATACTAGAACAAGTCCAGAGGAAATGCAAATATAAAATAAATAGTGATGACAGTATTTGAAGTTAATAGTATCATTACATAAATGGCTTTCCATTTAATTGCACATTATTGTAACATATTAGCACCATAAATCAGGCTGGTGTACATGCATTATTCAGTGAATTATTAATTATAAGGATAAATATATACAAACAGCCAAGAGACATTCGGGGTCATTAACAACATGGTATCAGACAAAGACTTTCTATGTCATGGGACACCACAAATTTTTCTGGCTTGTATAAATATTTTACAGCTCTAAATTTTAACATTTTCATGCTCTGGACTTACTACATAGACTGAGAAAAAAGAAGCATATGAAATGACAGGGCTAAAATGAGGTCTTCTGCTTCAACTCCTGATACAGAGGTTTAGGATAGGATTCAGCTGAGCTCTTTTAGCTATCAGTACACTGCACTGCCCAGGTTTCCCCAACCCTCCTCCTTTCCTCAGCAGAGTGGGCAGTCAACTTGGTTTTAGGAGTTCAGCAGTATAGCATGCAGCCCACTTTGACTCTCAGGGAGATGTAGGCAGTTCCTTGGGGCTTTTCCCAAGGCCAAAGCCAGGCAAATACTTCTTCATAGGTAAAATACAGAGGAGTCTTTTTTTTTCTTTGAAAAGATATCATGCTTCCACTATCTGAAATAGGCTCTAATAATTTAGTGGGATTACCCAGCAGTTGGCAGGAAACACTGTTACTTGCCCTGTGAGAGACTTTCAGATTTGATTAGGAAATCACAGAGCAGTTCAGGTCTTGCTTTTCCTGTCTCTCAGAAGGATTCTTGCAAGGTTGGGCTCATCCAGACACTAAAGGTGCAGTAAAACCACACCAGGAGAAAAGAAACCACCAATATGGTTGCAGTAGTAGGGTGGGATTAGAACATAGTTTAGAGGTCTACAAATCTTTAGCACCATTGTGTATCCTCAGTGACATTTTTTCACTGAACAGCAGGCAAGGTATTTATCCCTACAGCAAGGCAAGGTGGAAAGGAGCTAAAGAGAGGGAGAAATTAACATCCTGTTAAACATCCCATGAAATGCTGCCTTTGACACATGCCAGCAGGTTGGAAGAGAAAATCTGTGGGATAAACTTTCCCAGCTCTGGTGAAAAAGAAAAGAAAAAGAAAAAAGAAATAAGAATATTCCAAAGGACATTGCCTCCCCTGCCTTTTCAAACCTACCTCTACTACATGGTGCCTTATCTCCCCCTCCTCTCCCAGTTGGACAGACAGCCTTCTTTCAGCAACTGCCAGTACTTTTGAGTTAACTTAGGACAACATATAAAATACATGCTGCAATCAACATTCTGTGTGTGCTGATGATTCAACTCCGAGTTGTGACAGTTACACAATAAAACTACTGATCTTACTACAAGAAAAGTATAACAAAACCCAAAAAGGCAATAACTGAAAATATGTGCAAAATGAATCCTAAAATACTTTTGTTCGTACAATCAAGCAACTTGAAATGACATTAGCAGTTGTAAGACTATCTGCTATTTTTTCCCCATTTACACAAGATTTATTATCCAGATCTTTTTACTATTTTTCCATTGAAGTCTTGCCCCATTAACAATGGAAGGAAAAAAAAGAAAAAAAAGAGAGAAAAGAATGAAGACTGTATAAATAATACTCTATCAGGAACTTTCTAATTTCTTTGTACTTGGCCTTTCCTGGTTAATGCCATTTTAATGTTTTGTTTGTGCAATGGGCTCTTTAATAAAACATTTAATGAGATTTCATATATAATAAATATTACTAAATAGCAGTAAATAAATAACCTTTGCTAAGTGTTCTTTTTACAAGTACTGCCAAACTGCAATATTAAGGATTTTGAAGGAAGAAAAGAATAATAAACATCAACAAATACAAAATTATCATAACATCTGTATGCTGGAGAACTTACTCTCTTCAAAATGGTCTTAATAAATATTTATAATAATGGTGAACATCAATAGTATAATAGTACAGCCATCATTAAAAGGGAGACTAGTTTAAATCACTTTAGTAACTGCTACTACAAAGGTAAAATATGCTTTTGCCATGATAAATTAACTTTAGTATAAAACTAACTCTGGATGGCACTGTTGTCTTACATGAAAAAGTGATGCCTGAAATGGTGAAAATCTGCTGCCGGAATTTTCCACCTGGCTTACTGCAGCTTTCTTAAAAATCACACAGTGAGAAGATGCCTTTTTGGTTACATGCCAACATTGCTAGTATATTAATTATGTCTTTGACAGCTGGTGCTGGTAGCTTTCCATGGTAAAACTCAGTTTTCAAATTGCTTTTAGACTGGTTCACAATCAGAAAAAGACACAAAATTTAAATGTTTTTTTTCCAAAATGCTTACCTATAGTAAGCACTCCAGATAAACATTGCTGCTAATAGGGGTACATAAAAAAATGTTAAGTAGTAAACATAGCAAAAGTTGGTGTTTAAACTTTATGATACATGTGTTGAAATTGCTGTTGCCCTGAGCGATCTGTTGGTGTTCTTGTGTAAACAGAAAACTCAGTAAACAGAAACACTCAGTTACTATGAACTGTGAAATGGATTTGGGTTACTTCGAAAGGCAGCAATTTTGAAAGGACAAAGAAATCACAACATTTAAAAAGAATCCTAAGGGAGAAGTGCTCATTATCACTGACTGTGGCTCAAGACTGGCTGACTGGAAATAAACCACAGCATTCAGTTAATGTCTCGATTAACATGGAGAAGGGCAGCTATGAACTGGAATACTGCTACCTTGAACTAAACATGAGAATACTGATGACATTGACAAGCCTCAGTAATAACAGCTGAGAGCTACTGAAGAAACTAAGAGTTTAAGTGACCTCCTTTGACCTGCAGTTTTATAGACCAAGGTGATAGCTGTATGAAAGGATATACACCACTACTTGGTGTGTTAAATGCAAGCCCTGATTATGTAGCCAACACAGAAGCACACTGTAATAGTATGTCTGTGGTAAGAAGTCTATCATTAAAGGGAAAATGAGGAGAATTAAACAGATTCATCTGGGAAGAAAAGATGATTTTGTGAAGAGTTTCTCCTTATCTCATACTTTGAAAACTGAATAGTAGAACTTAAATATTAATGACATGGGAAATTTGCTGAATGGTGGAAAGTAGTCTTTTGGGTTCTGCAGAAATCTAGGGGCAAGACCACAAGGGAATCAGGTGCCCATGTGTGTGTCCTGCAGCCTCAGAAGCTCATATGGGTTCCAGGGGTCAGCTACTGGGCAGACTAGGTTAGGTGTCTAATCTAGCTGCTGGAAGGATCCACCTTACATCCATCCATCCTACACACACACATGTATGTAATGGTCTCAACTGTTGCCAGGGAAGGTTTAGATATTAGAAGAAACTTCTTCACTGAAGGGGTAATTAAACACTGGAACAGGCTGTCCAGGGGTGTGGTTGAACCACCATCCATGGAGGTGTTTAAAAGATATATAGATGTGGTTTAGAACACAGTTTAAGCACTGGACTTGGTAGAGTTAGCTTAATGGTTGGTAGAGTGAGGTTATGGTTGGACTCACAGTCTTAAAGGTCTTTCCCAACCAGAATGTTTGTGTGATTTATATATATATATAACGATATAGATACACATACAGTCTCTCTAATGGATTTCCATTCTGTCCAGCCAGAGAGTGTGGAGGAGGATGAGGCCAGTAGTGCTCCTTGTGTTTGTGCGAGTGCTCCGAGTGTCTGTTTGCGATCTGTGTGCCTGGCAATGCGTATATGCATGTATGTAGTGTGTGTATGTGTGTTGTGTGTATGTGCCTGCTGAGACCACATCTTCAGCTTTGCTAATGGCTGAACCTGGGGACATGGAGTGGCAGCAGACTTGCCTCTTGGGCTGTTGGATCTAGCTTGATACATTTTCCTCTAACATACTTAATCTGTACCATTCTGTGTCAGCTCCAATGGTAAAAGGAGAAGTTTGTATCTAATTTCTAAGATATAGACTAGTATTCTAACTGCTTTTAATGTGGGTTTTGTTTTGGTTTTCTGCCCTTAACAAGATATGCTAAGAAAGTCCGGGGAAAAAAAATAATTAAAAAATACTGCAATTTTTCTGTCCCCTTCTTAGCTTGGATACACAGCCTGTGCTTGGGGCCTTTCCCAGTCTTGCCTCCTGCTTAAATTCTTCTCCCAGCAGTACAGAAGTACATATCCCAAAAAAGGCCTTTTTTATCCCAACTTGGCAGTGCATTTCCTAAAACTGTCAGCAGGCATGTTTCTTTAGTTTCAGGAGAAACTTCTAAGTTTGGATATAATTTGTCAGGGCTCTGTGCCTTCATAAAACACTGTGTCCGTGTCTCTGCCTGTAGAAACAGTCATAATTCTACAGCTGTTCCAGATCACTACCAAAAGCTAAGCTCCAAGAAGCTCAGGTGAGTTGTGCAGAATATGCTTTGATTTCTTTATAATTTGTGAACGGATCATGCAATCAAACTTCTATGAACTACAGAACAAAGAGATTTTTTTCTCAGTAATTTCACTCAGGCAGTGATGAAACAAAAACTATCATATGGTCTTGGCTTGTAGCAATATAAAATTAAAAAAAAAAAAATCAATTACACGATGCATTTGACTAAGTACCTACTTAGATCAAACCTGCCCTTGTTTTTATTCTTCTCCATTTCTTCCAGTGCCTGAACAAATTGAAGCTGACTCTCAGTAAGTGGCCAACTATTATATAGCACCAGTGCTTGGATGATATACTTGTGAGACTGAAAGAAAATGCAATGTGTTAGCATGCTGAAGACATAACAATTATAGCAAGCATTCAAAAGTCTTGTAGGTGAGTAAACTGCCAGGTACTGAAATCAGTAAATAAAACACAAAATTAATTTACAAGCTGGCACATTACAGCAGTCACAAGAAGCTTAAAAAAAAATCGTGTTAATCCCACAGATTTTATTTTAATCCCTGTGAAATTAAACAATTACTCATGTGTTTATCAAGAGAAAATAAGCTGGGCTATAAAAAGGAGCTACATTCCTTTAAGATTTCCATGTAACTTCCTTGTGTATGCTTTGTGCTGAAACAAAGACATTTGTCTTTGATTTTAAGACCTACTACAGGGCTTTGAGTGCTGATACTAGCCCTCAATAATGTCTCAATTTGAGGTGGAGGTAACATGGTGAGATAATTTTAAATATTATCTACACTGAACAGGAAAATATTCCAATACACTCTTTAAAAATTGCTTTCCAAATTCTAAAGCCAGTTCTGAGTCAAAGGAACAACCCTGGAATTTATTTCCCGATAATCTGTTTTTTTTCCCTTGGAATGTTTTATCGCAGTTGAACTCAATTATCAGGAAAAATAACAGCAAATTTGGAGATAGTCAAACAAGCACTGCTCAAGAAAATAAGCAAAGATAACTTCACCTAACATTATTTGTTTAAGAATAACTCATTATTTTGATATTCCTCTCTGAGAAATTCTGCTAAAGTAGCAGCTATTGTGCGTGTCACTTTCAGGTGACTGGCAATAGATGCTTATTAAAACTAATAACGATGCCCTTCTCTTATATTATATTTCAAAGAAAACTGATATTGAAGCATCAGGAGTTTAATCTAAGTACTGGCAGTTTTTGGCCCTTAGTTGAAAGTTATGTTATATTTTAATTGGACTTGGCAAATACATGTACATTATCCTTTCTCCATAGCCTCATTCAGAAGCTACCAACAATCATAATTTTGGATCCTGTGTTCTTGCCTCAGGGTATCAGATCTCCACATGTACCAAAAGGATTATCAATACTCATCAGTTGTTTTGTTTGGGTTCCCTCCCCGCCCTGCCCCACGATCTCAATAATTTGGAATTTCTTACTCCTTGTGGACTTCCATCATTATTTTGAAAGTTTTCCACGAGGACAGGTTCCTCTTCTAATACAGGTGGACCTTCTTGTACAACTCCTGACCTGGAAGAAGTTTTGCTACTTGATGAAGATGAAATATGATTTTTTTTTTTTGATCCTCCACTCTCTGATGCCTTCTTTGCCGTACGTTGAATAATCTGGGTTTTGCTTGCTGCAAGACGATAAAAAGTCAGTGTTTGTTTCCAGAAATTCTATGAATTAGTGATATGAGGTAAAGAGACACCTCCAGAAACTGTAAGGAAGAATTAGCACAGTGTGTTTTAGCATGCTGTATTATGCTCACAAGATTCCAATTAAAATTATGCTTATTCTAAATACTATCCTGATTTCCTTCTGCATACAAATAATAAATATCTTTCAAGTAAATAATGAGATACTTGAAAGTCTGTATATATGTCATTGCTGTTTATAAAGTATATATTTTTTCCCCCAACCCTGCACCTCTCTCCTGCACTACCCGCTGTAGCACCATGCTATAAACTACATAACACAGATACCCCTGCACTATGTATGGTGGGATTTTATGGAGCTAACCTAATTCAATAAATTGTACACACCTTCGGAAGGACAGGACAAGTTCATTTGCCACAAGTCTGGCAACTCCTACCCTTACAGAAGTCTCTTATGTCAACCTGACACAGATGATGGCTGACTGAAGTTTAAAGCAAGCCAATCTTGCAAAAAGCTATAAGGCTTTTTGTGGTTTATCATTTATAAAATTATATTTTCTCCTAAGGAAGGAATTAATGTGAAAAAACTGTGAAACCAGGAACATGCTACAGAAGAGCTGTAACAGAAGTAATTAATCCAGAAAACCTAAACTTGCATTCAATTCTAATACCACTGATGTCTATGATACTATCTTGCCTGAATGTCTACAAAGAAAGGAGAGTTCTAAAAGGGAATATCTCATAGAGAATTGAATAAAGGCAGAAATAGCATCTCTGGGGAAGCGACTACTCCTGTGCTATACTAATAGTAGCTGGACCATCAACTGGGAAAGAGATCTTTTTTACTTCACTGAGGACAGAAGGCTTAATGCTTCCCAAGATTTATTGTAGAAGCTAAGGATGATATTGTATCATTGCAACACTTCAAAATAAAAATGTATAGAGTTTCATGTGTGTTGACAAAACATCCAGGGAAGTTCACTAGAGTTGACAAGACTATTAGACCAGCTTCAATAAAATCTTACAGGTGGTGTGTCAGTATATAAAAGCCAAATAAAAGGTTAAGTGTCCCACTAGAAACTCAATGGGAGCCAGGAAATAGTATCCTAAATCTGAATAGCATAAGTAAAAATAATCCCACAAAGTTTTTTTTTGCAGAGGATGCTTCTGACATGGAGTTAACGCAGCTCAGAACGGTGAATCCTTCATAAAAATCATTCTGCTCTTGATGGAAAGATACAGCTCAGAACGGTGAATCCATAAAAATCATTCTGCTCTTGATGGAAAGATGACTTGGCACTGTTTCCCAAAAATTCCCACACAACCAAAATAATAGTTCTAGCAATGGTCACCAGGTGGAGCTGTGACACCAAATTTCTAACTGCAAACATAAATACTCGATTTTTTCCGAGCAAAGCTCTGCCTAGAACTCCTACGTATCGCGGTTCCAGATGCAAACAAATATCTGAATGAGATTTGCTACTTTGAGACTCCGTTGTATCAGTCTGCTGCTATAGAAAATAAAAGGATTATGAGGATTCACTTGTCCTGCTGTGCCACAGGGCTGCTGTGTTTGTATCAACAAAAGAAGTTGCACTTGTAACATGTCAATATGTAATTCCTTCATTTGCAGGTGACTGTTCAAGGTTCAAATCACTGCTACAACTTAAGTAGTAAATATATTAAAAATAAATTGATTGAATGTAGTTTATGATCTATGAAAGACATTTCTAAAACAGCTGGGACTGGAGGTGAATTAACAGATTCTGAGTGGGAAAGGGGCATAATGTTTTACTGGTGATGCTTGCACAACAGTTTCCCTGAAGAATACTTCTGTCAACACAGTGATCAGTTCTATGAGAGGCAGAACATGTGTGGTACTGAATAGGTCTCAAGAGTGAGGATTGTGTCTTGCTTAACTAACAACTCTGGTGGTGATGCTATATTAGGGATTTCAGATTATTCTTATTCTGTCAAAACACACTTTTTTAGAGAACAACTAGAGGCTGAATCTTGTATGAAATGTTGATTGTACAAATACTCACCTGAGCTTGGCATCAGCGTTTATGGAGGTTCCTACATTGTTATCTTACTGGCCATAATTTACTAATACTTTTGACAACAGCAGAAACCCATGCTTTTACAATGCCATAAATTGCATCTGCACAGACACTCAGGTAGGTAATGAGATACTGTCCTACTGGTTATAATGAGTAAATTTCATGATCTTTTCACTAAGTTTGGATGCCCTGAAAGATCTGGAACACTATCACAAAGAAGACATTTTGTGTAAGACAGTCTGCATATAGATAGGAAAAGAATTTCAACATTAAGGCCACTTGGTCCGGTATTAAAAAATAATAAATAGTAAAAAATAAAAGCTGACAGCTCCACAGTCCTTTCCAAATGAGAGATCTCTATACACTAAAGATGGTCTAAAATAATAACACTTCTTTTACAGTAGTTGTACCAGGTCTAGAAACGCTAAAATTCTCTTAGAAATAAAGTACCTTTCATCACCACATTTTCCATTATGATTTCACTGGCTTCACTACTGGATAGGAGTCTGATAGGACAGCCTTCCTATTTTCAGTCAGATTAATTAACATATATTTCATTGAATGATTCACCATAGATCAAAAAAATTTTATATTAGCAGAAAGTATTTGATTTACAGTACATAACAGACAAAAGCCTGAAGTGTGTGTCTGATTTCTGAGGACATTTTTAAAACTTCTTCTAACCTATGTCCCCTGCAGTTTGGTAAAGACAAAATGCCTCTCCTAGTTATTCTTCCCCATCCTCTCCCTTCCAGTCTCTGTTGGAACCCATTTCTCTTCGCTTTCACCTCACTGTGACTTTTAACTTATTTCAGTCTTTATACTATGATCTTTGCCAACAAGCCAGCATGCTGAAAGAAAGTTTCTCCTTCACTTTACTGAGGATAACATGGCAATCTATTTCAAGTGTTTGTGGCCCTTACCCTAAATCTGAACTATTTTATAGCCTTCTTGCTTCTATTTCCCCCAATCTATTCTTAAGTTTACCAATCCATTTCCACATGCCAAAAACAGTAACCAGAAATATCTATGATTATCTTGGCAACTCAGTCACAGAACCATGACAGCTCCTCCATTACTTCCTTTAAAACCACAATATTGTCAGCTGATGAATTACACTTTGAAAGTATGCTCTCCATACTCCCTCATTTTACATTTATGGTAATAACATGGTGCAGCAGAGACAGAAGTCAAAATGTTTCATAAACATGATTAAATTAGTAATTTTTACCACAAAGCATTGGAAATTTAGATAAAACATTTTTTCTAAAGGATCATGTTATGAAAGACAGTTCAAAAGTATGGAAGCTGGAGGACATCTCTGGAGATCATTTAGTTCAACCCCACTGTTAAAAGCAGAGCTAAAGCAGGTTGCTCACAGCCACATCCATTTGGGTTTTGATTATGTCCAGGGGTGAAAACTTCAAAAACTCTGGGCAATCTGTTCCAATGTTTGACACCCTGACAGTAAAAATGAAAAACAAAAAACCAAAACCAACTCCCCTCCTCCAAATCACCACTTCTCATGCTTAAATTTTATTTTTTATATTTAAGTTTGTGCCCACTGACTCGTCTTGTCACTGGGCACCACTTAGAGAGTTTGGCTTAATTTTCTTTGCCTCCCTGGCCCTTACCCACAGGGTTTATATGGTGCCAGGCTTGGCCATAGAGTCATGATAGTTTGCTGGACTACACAGTCAGATCTAACTGATGCCAGGTGGCTTTTTGTTATGGACAATCACTGGTTTCAACATACTTTTAGAAAATATATGAATTTTAGCATACTTGGGAAAGGTGACCTTTGAACAAGCACCGGTTCTCACTTTTCATGAGAGCTGAGCTGACAAGGCTGCAATGTACTGAATGGCACTAAATTATAAAGAAAGAAGGAAAAAGAAGTCTCAGCACTCGTTGCTTAAAAATGGAGCTGATTTCACTGAATCACAAAGCAATTACAGATCCATGGAAAAAGAAGGAACAAAATATTTTCTGTGATTACCTAAAGATACTGTAAGAATGCATATCACTCAGTGAATAAAATTCTTAAATAAGGAATACGATACTTACAGTGGGAACTCCAAGGTGGTTCATTACTCAAGAACTTAAAAGCAGGGATGACTGCATGGCCCTTTCCAGTGACACTCACCATTTCTTCCTCATTGTCTAGTACTTGTAATTTAATGAACACATCTGGTTTAGATGTTTGTACCTGCACTGTAGCAATATGCGATGCTGTGACTTTTACTGAATACCTAAAGAAAGAAAAAAGTTATAGCAATATAACCAGTTATGACAGATTATTCTTTTTTTAGGTCAATACCTTAACATTGTCTTAGTCAGGGTCAGTTCTGAACTCAAACTTAACTAGAATAAACTGATTTTAATAACCTTTAATACATTAAAATTATTAATAAGAATCAAATAATCACATTTTTATTAAACATTTTCTCCTAAAAGGTTCTGTGTGCTAAAATAAAATGTATATACATTTTTCTGACAACACTGCAAGATAGAAAATGGTTTTGTATTTCAGAAAAGGAATTTTTGCATTTTTTGACTTTTAATTAAATCTTTATCTGAATAGGTGAAAAAATGCATCAAACTTTGTCTCCTCCCAAACAGCAAAATCTCAATTTTGATACATATTTTATCCCCCAAAGTACTATGGAATTTCAGGAAATTGAAATAGGGATAAAATTTCAAGACTGAGCATACAGAAATGCAACATACTGTTATTATGATTTTAAAATTATAGCCTGTTATAATCTGTTCTTCAACAAGCAGTGGCAATTTTCAGCAAATAACACTTTCATCAATTATATGTTAAATTTGATATTGCACAATGAGAGCCCATAAATTTTATATACTTGGCCTTAATACCTTCCCCTTCTAAGAAAGGGGAAATAAGGTACTTTTCTGTCAGGACTGGTCCATATAAAATCCAGAATTCAATCATTCTTCTCTCAGGATTTACCTGAACATTATATGCTTGTCATTGGGTATGTAATACTCTTTGATTTCTTTAGTGGAATAGACATTGTTTACAGCCTCACGCGAGAGGAAGGGAAGTGGCCTGTGAGACCCGATGAGCCGGAGCCTCCACCTTCCAGCTGCCGCAGGGTGGTCACGGGTACCTGCTTCAGCCATGAACGTGTACCCTTGCTGGAAGGAGAAAAAAAGTCACCCGGACTTCACTTGGAAATAACACTACTCAACATGCACTTACGACTTCACACAACACACTTTTTGTCCATGTTACACTTAAGATGTTCTTCATGAGCAAAAGACTATATAGTGCTATTACTGTAGAGCTATATAGTTCTATTACAGTCTATATTATGAAGAATAACATATTTCAGGAATTTATATTTGGCAAAAAGTTACAGAGCAAGTCAAATCCCATCTCATCTAACTTCAAAGGTGGCCTTACTTTTAAGGTCAGGTACAAGCAAACCCCTGAGGTCACTTTCTAATGAAATAATTTGATTATTCTAAGCTGTTTAATAAAGTCTAATTTAAAATATATTAATAAGCTTCTATTCTTTCATTTAAGTAGGTGCAGTACTCTATTCTGAAAAGTTTTCTTATAACATGACTTAAGTTCAGTGAAATGTATTTTCTCAATGAATTTTCTTCCTTTGTACATCATACTACTATGCAAATAGCTCCCAGATAAAACATGTCTATACATCTCTGGGTTCTGTAGTATTACCAGTCTTTTTCTTGTAACACTGTTAGCAACATTAACAAGCCAAGCCTTTTCATTTGGTACAAAATATTTTTTTCCCTCTTGATATCTGTATGTGGTGGCAATAGTAGAAGTAGATATAATGAAGGAAGAGTTACGGACTGAATAAGCCATGAACTTTCACTCCAAGTTCTGAGACAATCACATCAAACTCTGCTATTGCTGGGAATGCTCTGGCCTCTCTGCCAGTTGTTAAAATGTGTATTGTAAAGTACTGATGTATTTGAAGACTGCACAACTATTTTGAGATTATAGATGTTTTTAACTAGAAAGGTAGCCACAGTTGAAGATAAGGAACCTAATATTTTGGCACAAGACATTTATCAAAAGCTAGCAGTCTTCACACATATGAAAGCAAAATTAGATAAAGGTAAAACCTAAACATGAAAATAACTGCATTCACTGATAAACCAGAGATCTGAAAATGTCCCTCCATGCTGTAGGCACTGTGAAACCACAGGTGAATGCAAGTTACTTCATGGAAGTTTAGAGATCAGATTCATGTGGTCTTCAAATCTGAGATTAAATTAATATTGCTCCTACTTTTAATAATGTAATTGCAACAATGGTATTAAATGTCAGGATATTGTTCTTATTTTATGAAGGTGTTGATTTAGCAGAAAATATTTCTAGTATTAAAAAAATAAAATTAACATTTAAAAAATTCAATACACAATTAATAAGCCTGATGCAGATTTATCTGCTATTTATAAATCCTGAGAAGAAGAATGAGAAGAATGAGAAACCCTAATATAATTTAAAAGGTCTCAAAATTGCTTTTGATTTTATATTTGAAAAAATAAGGCAATATGAATGTGTTAACTTGAAAAGCAGGGGCAGGAAAAAGAGATATAATGAGTGCAATGACCAATTGCAATGTAACAGGGGAAGGGACAAGATTAAGTACCCTCCTCAAATAGTGCAAACTATGCCTACCAACTTGCTCTTTCAAACATTAAAACTTCATGTTCCACCCAAGAAATTCTTCAGAATGTTTTCTCTTTTCACAGTCTTCCACTACATTTCAGTTGAAAGAAATTAGTATTTACTGGTTAAAGAAAAAAAAAAAAAAGCTTTGTTGAAAAATTCTTGTAAGAGTTGTGATTTCAGAACTTGTGATTTCAGAACTACCCAATAATGCAGGGTGGTGACTTCAGGACTATTGAATATTTAGAATAAAAGTAAAATAAATTATTTGTAATTTCAGTTTCTGCAATTGTAACTGTAAGACACCTTAAACCCTTTAATCAATGCACAAGGTAATAGCAACCATTTAAAGCTACCATTCAGGAGCACTCACTTATTTAAAAATATCTATTTAAGCATAAAGTCTCCCCCATTCTTAACAAGTACGCTCGGAAACGGAGAGGAATTTAGTCAGATATTAAAGTGGTTTCTGAGAAAAACACTTTCTGTTGTATACCTATTTATAAAGAGAAGGTTATGCAATCTTAATGTTCACTAAAAGTATGCTGAAAATTTAGACATGACATTAAAAAAATTGTTCAAGTGGATAGTTTCTGAATACTATAGGCAATTAGAAAGCAAAATGCCTGAATTTTGCAGCTGGAAGGAACACTGAGTAATCATCAGTCACTACTGAGAAATGAACAAACGGGTCTAGACAACCTCATCAGATTTATGTCTCTATCATGAAAACCTTTGCAGGGTTTCATTACCTACTTAGTAAGCTGTAACAAGATACCTATCTACAGAATTAGAGAAGGCATTGTTTTCCAATATGTTACCTAAACTAGGTTTCTGGTAAAGTGAGGTGATTTCCTTATGTCCTTCTGTGACTAGTCAAGAAATCAACTGATCAGTGCCCTTGCTCAAATAGACTTCTATTTTCTAGATTAAATACATTGTTAGTAATTATTTCTTTGTTGGTCAGCTGAAGCCTGAGGAATGCTTACCTTTATCATTTTTTACAATCTGTTCAAAATACTTGAGAATAATAGAGTAAAATTTAAAAAAACCAAACAAACCAAACTGTACCCAGCTGTTGAAAAAATTACCATGGAAGAAGAAAATTTAATGCAAGAAAAAAAATAAAATCGAAATAATGCAAAGCAAGTAGCTACTTTCTATCCAGATTGCAACATCCACAGAAAGAACAGAGACATTATTGCTAGCGTGCAGATTTATCCTTATTGTCAATCATTCTGAAAGAACTATGATGTGGGCCAGGAGTGTCTGAAGCAGAATAACTATGTGTTGACAAGATTTCTTTTTAGCGCTGTAACAAATTGCCGATTCATATTTTTGAAGCAGAACAACTAACTGGTAAGTTTATCTTAAAAAAAAAGAAAAGCCTTTTTTTGCATTAATATTGACATTTAGCAATCCAGACATACTAAATAATTTATTGCGTGATGTATTACATTGTTGACTATTTCTTACAAAACACTTAAAATGAAGGGTAACATGAAAATACTCTGTATTCTGTGTTTCATAATAACTATGTCTTGTCAGAATATCAATAGAACATTCAAAAGCTTTTGTAGGTCCACTGAAACTTTTATGATCCATTTCAAAATGGGAAGAAAACAGGCTAAATTGTACAGTACTTATTGAGAAACTCAGTAGCAGTGATTAAGAAATGTAGTTTAAGAACCAGTACAAAAATACAGCATACCTGCACAATTCTGTTTTAATACTCTTAAAAAAGAGTCACTCTTCACCGGTACTAAACTTAAATATTTTAAAATCTGTAAGTCATGAGCTTAGAGGATTAAAAAAAGTCTGTTTTAAGTGGGGACTTTTTCAATAAGGAAGGACAGGAATAAAAGGGGCCATTTTCACTGAGGCTATAACATTATACCCATGAAAAAAATACATTATAATTGAGTGTATAAGGTGAGGTAGCAAATCACAAAAAAATAATTTCAAATATTGAAACAAAGTGCTGGTAAAATCTTATTTAGAATATTGTGTACAATCTTGGACATCTTTATTGATGAAAGATATGTTAAATGGGAAGAGGTTTGAGAAAGAATTGGTAAACTCAAGGAAACAGAAAACTTGCCTTACAAGACAGAACTAAACAGTTGGTATCCTGCTAATGCTGAGATGAGATCTGAAATAAACCTGAAGTTGTTATTCTTTCCACAACTCATCATTTTCCTGAAAGCAGTAAGTGGCATTCATCACTGAAATTTCTTTTTGCATCCTGCTACTTGCTGCTGTTGGGTTCCAAACAGAATTTCCTGTTGGGTGGAATCCACATCCCACCTCTGAGGATCCTAGGTTAGTTTTGAGAACTTAAAGAGCTTGTCTGCAACCCTTTTTTAAAAGCATGTTCCTGCAGCAGTAGCAGTCTTTATCTGTCAAATGCAGCTAATAGTCACAATAAACACTAGAGCTCTTTCTAGGGAAAAGAAAGTAATTTAAATGCAAGTTACAAAATAAAGACAAGAAAACTGCTACAACAGTGTTAGACTGTAACTGACATCAATTCTTTGTTATTGACAGGTGGAGACTGAAGACTAAAATGTGATCTTGTCTTCACTATCAGGTCAACTGTGAACCTGTGGCTACAACAGTCAATATTAAAAGTAATATTGAAAAGGTAAGAGGCAAGCTGGCATAGGCAAAGAAGTAGTAAATGTTTATATAGACAAATAAAAGTTTAGGATTAGATAGGTCTGATGAACTTCTGTCTGAAGGATAATTAAATAACAAGGTTAAAACAATCACAAAACTTTAAAATTATGTTTTTTAACTTATGGAGGGCTCATAAGGTACTGAAAAACTATATAACTACAATACTATATTTCTTTCAGGTGGAAAAAGGTATATAGAAAATGATCAGTGTATCTCCAATGAAAACCATGAAATAATTAATGAAATTTACAGCCCCCTCAACATAGCAGAGACTGCAAAAACCAACTCCTATTAAACCAATCAACTTCTTTCTATAGGAAATGAGAATGAAGGAAACACCTGACACTGTTTCTCTCATCATTCTTCTAAGCCTAAGGAAATGCTGAGCGAAGAAACTAGGGGGGCTGCTGGACACATCCACAAAGCACATATGTATGGCACCTTCTGGAAAAGCAGGGTGCAAACAGTGAAGTTCTGATTCTGTTCAGTATTTTCATGAGTAATGTGGATGATTGAATGGAGAATTTACATGTTTAATAAATTTATATCACAAACTATGGAGGATTGTAACTTTAGAGGAAGAGACAAAGAATTCAGGATCATTTTAAGCTAGGGAAGTAGTCTGAAAAAATATCATTAAAATCAATAGTCAAATACCCTATATTTAGTCAAGAATAATAAACAACAGGATTCAGCTCTTCAGGAAAGCACCATGAGTCAACAGTGGTGTTGCAAAATAGAGCAAGCATCACACTTGGACATATTAGCAGAAGTAAAGCACACATGGCATATAAATTAATTGTCCCTTATTCATCATTTTTATGGCCACAGGTTAGTTCTTGGTGCAAAGTTTACTGTGCTCAGTGTTGTACATGATAAAGAAGAAAATACAACAGGAATTGGGAAAACTCTGGAGTGAATAAACAAGGTAGAACATGTGATTTGCAAGGAAAGACTGAACAAACTGTCTTCTTTAGTCTAAAGCTAAAAATCCAGGAGGAGGGGAAGCTGCGATAATTATTAAACAATGTAGTAATTTTTTAAAAAGCAATTTGCACTAATGTTTCTGAGATAACACACAGGCTTTGAGGAGGCACGTATCTAAAGCTGTACTTGGCTTCAATGCTGTAATTATCATTAGCAGCTGAAGATGAATGCTAATTTAATTATTGTAAGCATTACTTGTTAAAAGCTATTTAAACCTCATTCTTAGTTTGGCCCTTAACTCTTGAAGGTTGCCCTGCCAAATGGACAGGATCAGCAAGCAACCACCTTGTCACTTGAGTAGCACAGCACAGGGAATTTGGACAATATTCCTTCATCTGACAACAGTAAAAAATAGAAATGTAAATTAACGCTATTCCTTCATGGTAAAAGGTTTAGCACATAAGCAGATCAGTGATAGTCTCTGTTCAAACTAGTAAATAAGTGCTTGCTTCTAAGTAGACCATTTTCTTAGCTGAAAATGTCCAAAGAATTTGGGCAGTTATTATTTTTTAAATTATACGTTTCCCAATGACTCTTTGCATTTACCTTATTTTTCGAATAAACATGAGGTGTCACTTTGAAAAAGACATTTGGCATTTCCTCCAGAGTGTCATTGTCAACAACATGAAGTTTACAGTAAGGGATAGTGGTATACACCTTTGGCACTATAAGCATTTCTTCTGGAACAAGAAATATTTCTCTAAAAAAAAAAAATATAAATTTATATTAAGATTATTTTCACAAATAAATTTTTTTGTGTAACATGAAGAGTATACATTAGAATTCAAGAGAAGTAGATTTACATAAAACTATGTTTTTAAAGTAGCAAAAACCCAGAGTGTATCAATACTTCTTCCCCATAAGTTATATAAGGCTGTAGGAAACTCACCTAAAAACCACAAACCACACATTGGGTGGCTGATCAGCATATGTTACAGCATAGTCAGCAAAACAGGTCTTACACCATTCATCTTCATAGCAAGGAAACATTTCAATCAATTTACACTTTCTTCTAAACATTTCTCTGGAAAGCAGATAACAAGATAAATATTTAAATCTAATTAGGAGGGCACGGGTCTTGTCCTTAACTTTTGCTAGCCCTGAACACTGCTTCCTGCATGAATATAAAACTATGTTATAAAATGTGTTGCTGATGTTTCTAGGGTAGCTCTTCACTCTCAAAAGTAATAAAACAGGTAGGGATCAGCTCTCTTAGAGCTAAAGGCCCATAGTGGCTAATACTTACAAACAAATATTTCTATCAGTCAGTCTACCCATGAGTAAAGCTGCTTCTAATAGATGAAAATGTTATGGCTTCTACAAAAGCTTCCTTTTTCTTTTTTTGTGTCTTTAATATCAGTTATAACTCCTGTTTCTTCATCTGAAGCTGTCATCCTAAAGCTGTGGCATCATTAGGAGATTAAAAACTGTTTTAATGCCTTTTAAAACTTTTTTGAACAAGAAAGTTATAAAAGCAAAACCAACTAAATTTTAAAATGGGATGAAAGACATTCCTGGTTGCTTTGTAAAATGGTACTGCTTCCAGCCTCCAGTAACTCAGGGATTTGACAATGGGAAAACTTTTACCCTAAAACTGAACTTGCAAAATTCCTGCATGTTACTTTAATAGCTGAGGTGCTAGCTTGTTATATTAAATGCAAGTTTGTCAGCTGTTAAAAAAAGATTAAAAACATGAGCATAATTTTAACACTCAAATGCATTCCATAGGACAATGCTTAATAATCTGTCCCACAAGTTTTAAAAGTCAGAAGGTAGACTAAAGACTGATATTTGCTAATTTAGAGATGTTACACATCTAGAAAGAACTGCAGTCTAACATTTGGAACAAGGCTGTAGTTGTACAGTCCTGATCCCAACAACATACAAAGGCTTTACAGGATTAGAATCACTAAAAAGTGAAATAAAATTATACCTCATATGAGTGTTACTCAAAGTGCTGGTTATAAGGAGTAAGGATTTATACCTGCAACTAGTAATTATTGCCAGTTCTTACTCCTCACCTCTGGCAGAACTGATCTACTGCTACATCAGTTGTGTGAACACTTGCTGAGATTTTTCAAGGATGTAATGAAGATGAATACATGAATCCCAAAGGGTGTCATGCTTGCAAATGACTTGATGAACACTGTTCAGATTAAAGTAGCTAACTTTGCAAAAGCTGTGATTAAATGCCAAGGAAAGAATCTGCCTAGAAATATATCTACTTCCCTTAAGCAGGAGCTACAAACACACCCTCTGATGGTATAAACTGTGGTACAATTTAATAGCATAGCTAATACCTTCCTAATGTCAACAAGGATTCTTTATCAGACAGCACATATCAAAATGCTTCTTTAAATCTACTGGCTGGGTATTTAACTAAGGAATCAGAAAGTTATTATTTTGAAATGGCCTATGGGATATGAAAAAATTAGATCCAGGAGAAAGGTAATGTTCTAGCTTAACCTGTAAGAAAAAACCTTTAACACACAATTCTAAAAATTAGATTTGCTCTAGTTTTACTGATGTATGAAAAACAGAATAAAGCACAGAATATCTGTCTTTGCCAAATACATCTCATCTTTTCAAACAGTATTGTAATTTTTAAACTAGTATTTCTCTTATAATATTTATTCTGTCAACCAGCAATTTACAGCAATTCTGTGGTACTGACTGCAATAAACTAGTTTAATTTATTACATAATTACCTTAACAGTAGCACAGCACAGTTTTCAAAATCTAACTCAATCATAGTCCACAATTTTTGCAAGGATTCTTTGACATTAGCATTTTCTCTAGTACCTGGAAATAATAAAATAAAATAAGAAAATACATTTAATTTTGTATTTTTCTAAATATACACCTGCCAAACACTTGAGAAAAATGCTACTTGCACAAGTAAATTCTTATGAATCACCAGTTTTTATCTAGAATTTTACAGAAGACTCACTGAGCTGAAAACTAATTTCTCCTTTGACAGAGGAAATCTTCTTCATGATCACCTTTCTAGTTTTCAGCACTCCTGCAACTGCAAAAATGATGTGAACAATATTTGTTCTGATATAGTTTTTTTCACTAGAACATGTTGTAGGCTATGAGGTGACCTCTGTCCTTGGAGAATACATTGTTTAGCTCCCAGCAGCTTTTATTTGCCAACAGTAAGAGTGAGTAGCTATGTGCCTAGGCAATCTGTGTAGGTAAAAATAATCAGGCAGCTCCAGTGGGTAGTTCATCTCACTCATGTTTGATACTTCTCAGATTACAGGATGTGTTCTCATTTCAAGGTGTCTATTTCTATCCACAGAATACAGATGAAGACTAGGAAACTAGTTTAGACCTGTTGTCTAGCTATTCAAGACTGAAGTTAGGTGAAATCCTTCTTTATTGCATAAGCAATTGGTGACAAAAATGGAGGGGAAAAAAAAAAAGAGAGGGGGGAGTAATAACACTTTATTGACATGTTAGAAAAAATTACAGGTAATGGGAGAAAGGAAGAGGATCATAATATAAGTGAAAAAAAAGAAAGAACAGATCACAGATTAAACTATAAAATTCTATTGCATATCAGTTCCTTTTTACTAGATATTAATCACTAACAAAATCCTTCTACAGAATCTTTTGACATGGTGACGTACAAAACTTTTTTTTTTAAAGGTACTTTTAAAGCACACACCTGGTTTTCTGCTGTTCAGGACTTTCCTAACATAAGTTCCTCTCCAGCAAGCTTGAATTTTACCAGCTTTTGCTTCCTCTTCAGCAGTAGGAGTTCGGTTCTGCCAGCTACCAAGGGAACTCCTCCCACAGCTCTCTGAAAGAAGGGAATGAGCAGCATCAATAAAGCAGGAAGTCCTGTAGTTGCCTGCAATGAAGCTGAAAAAAACCAAGCCAACAACAAAACAAAACAGAAAACAACCAACCACCCCAAACCCCCACAGAATTCTGAGTGCTGTATTCCAGAAACAGCGTGGTTTCTGCATAAAAATTTTCATTTGTGACAAAACCACCTCACTTAAAGTTTTGCTCTTATCATGATAAAATTAGACAAAATATACTATGTAATTCCACAAAGTCAGCATGCTAATTCCAAATACCAAAACATTGAATTCATACCACTCTTTACAGACGACTATTGCAGTGCATTTTTAAAAATCAAGTCTCCTAATGCGATTTTAAAGTATCCTCCCAAATATGAACTCATAGGATTTGTTATCATTAAATCCTAAATCTGAATACAGCTTAAAAGAACTTAACAAGACTTTAAGTGCTTCTGTCTCTAATATCACCAGTTTATTAAGTGATAATTTATATGCCAGTGTTATCCAAAATATTGTATTCAACCTTTGCAAAGGAGCCATGAAATATAGGTAAGATCTGTGATAAAGCAGGGGTTCATTTATCTGATTGTGACTTTCTGTTACCAATGAGTTTTGGAGCATAACAAAAATTAGTAGGTTCTGATGGATTATTAATGAGCTTTTTGAAGGCCACCCTTGCCTAGAATTGGCATCCTGGGAGCCATCAGCACCAGTGTTTAGGGGGAGGGTGTGGGGAACAGCACTATAAGGAGGCACTGCCAGGGGGCCAGTTTGGAACTGCACAGATAAAGAATGAGGGTAGTGAGACAGCATCAGAGAAAGGAAACAGTGCTCCAAGAGGAAGAACCAACAAAGAAAGAGGAGGAGGAAAGAGATTGATTTGCTTGAAAAATGGGACAAACAAGCTCAATAAAATATATTGCTGTCATCAACCAGGAGATGACACATTTCAGTCTAATCTCTTTTATTGAATACTGTTAACTGTGGCTGTGTACCCAGCCATCATGCCTCATGATTGCCTAATTTCCAAACCCCAGAAGGCCTCTTTAATATTTAGTGACTCTGAAAGGTTGCACAAGCCCACTTCAACAGACAACAGGTTGGAAGTCAACAATATGGATGGTACTTTCATAAAACACAAGCATTTAATCACAGAGTAATATAGGCTGGAGGAGAACACTGAAGGTCATCTGGTCTAATTCCACATGTAAACCAGAATCAAGTTAGAGCAGGTTGCATATGGTCTTGAGCAAATGTCCAGTCATTAATTTTTCAATATCTTAAGCTTAAAAAACAAGAAAGCAAGAAAACAAAACCCAAATCATTCCCAAATGAAAAAAACACTTCAACCCATCAACAGGAAATAGGTGAACTTTCAATTAAGACACTAACTGTAGTAATTTAAGGTCTCTTCAGCTGGTAATTTGAACTAGTCATGATCTGCAGTACATCTGGCAAAAAAAAGGCATCTGTAGATGGTTGTTCATGCTTGTCACTCAGTACTAACAAATAAAAATCAAGGAAGACAAAGGAAAATTTCATAAATTTTATGAATTCACAAAACTTGGACAGACTTTCTGGAACAGAAAAAAGGATTATTTCTATTTTGAAATTAGTCTCAGATGTGCTGAGAACAGTAGAAGGCTTAGGCATCTCATAAGAAGGGAACCATGTTTACTTCGGGAAGAAAACACAAGATTAGTGAAGAGCTTGTTTCCTTGAAAATAAGAATGGGCAGAAATATACAAAGTAATTATTAATACCAATGCAATACCTGAAGACCAAGTGTCATCCTCAAAAATCTCGAAGTCTTTAAAATCCAAAGTGAAGGCCCTGAAGGCAAATTTGTAGCTGTCAAAAGCCTCCCTGCCTGTTACGTACTTGATCAAATACCAAAGTGCATTATTGAAAACCTAAAATAAAAAATAGGAAAAACATTCAAAGAAGGAATAATTTATAAAAGCTGATTTATATTGCTTTGCATTATTGTTTTAAAAACTCTTCAGCTCTTACCTTCTTTCAGGTAAAAATGAAGTCTTTAACTTTCTCTAACAAATACAGCATTTGAAAAATCAGTCCCAATAGTAGGACACTGCTTCAAGCCAAGATCAAGAGAGAACTTGTTTCATGCCTGTCTTATTAAACATAGGACTGATTAACTATAGCTTAAATTTTTATCCCCTGAAAGTATCTTAGAAATTTTTGTGAAATTAGTTGATGGTCTCTTACCAGAGGACAGAACACATTACAATCACCATAATGAAAGCTGGGATTCTAATTAAATGTTTTATGACTGAGACCAACAACTGAATGAGCATGCTTACTGAATTAGGAGGTAGCAACACAAAGAAAAGTAGAAATATATTGTTGGGAAAGCATATATTTCATGTGCTACTTACATGACTAAAGTAATGGCTTTATATCCATCCTCAATATAGTGATGCTCTTTAAAGAGCAGAAATCCAGTCTCTCCTTCTTTCAAAAAATGGAAATGTTAAGAGTGTGTTTTTCAGAGCTGGTTTCATAATTTGAATCAAAGAACACAGTAACAACTTACTGGAAAACAAAATTTCTCTTTCATTGTCCTTGTTTTAAGATTTTTCTGCTTTCTGAAAACATTTTATCCAAAGTTATGTATTTTTTTTATATTAATAGAAACTTCCTTATGTTGAAAGCTTTTAAGACTGGTGAAGAAAGAATCTACTTTAGTACATGTTTATGTTCAGAATATTTTTTCACTGTTTGTATTAAAGATAGATAATTTCCTTATTTTCATTCTGGAGTCACTAATGGCTCAGTACCTCTTATTTCTCTCATTTCAGGTTTTCTATTCCTTTGCAACTGTACACTGGCCTTCTTGGAAGAGAGAGGAAGGATATGTATGTTCATGCCTGTTAATTGTTCTTAAAGTCACTAAGTTTTGCACATATTTAATATGAAAATATAAATTTAAATATTGTATTTTCCAGACCAGAGAAGGTGAACTGATTTATTTTTATGTTGGACTTGTCATGAAAATTACCTTTCATGAGTGGTACACAATTTTCTTATTTTTGTTGTTTTAAGCCTGGTGTCAAGCCCATGTATAAAAGCACTGGCTTAGGTGTTTCTACCTTTTAATATTGCTGATTATAAAAATATTAATCCCTTTCTTCTATTCAGTCTTCTAAAATACATGGTATAAACTGCATGAGCTTTCTAGTATTCCGATGAAAGTAAGTGAATCTTGAATATATAAAGTACCAACTGTAAAGAAATCAGGTTATAGCAGTATTATCAACATCTACATATACATAAAAATTGGTATGCCTTTTGCATATTTTTTTTGCAGTCTTTTTATAATATTTAAGTTATAGTATAGAGAACTATGGAAAAGTGTAACTTATTTATCATGTATCTAAAGACCCTTTCTCACACATGGAGACCAGAAAAGTTGAGTAAGAATGATGCAGTTTCAAAACAAACAAACAAAAAAACCAGAAGTCAGAAATGCTGCAAGTAAAAAAACTTCATGACTGTCTTCAGTAACATAAGTTGTAATAATGTTTTCCTGTGTCATCAATGTTAGGCACATAAAGGAACGATTCTGGCTTTTCTGCATTTCAGGTAGTCTTTTAAATCCAAAATGAAATAATAAAATAAAAAAAGATTGTGCTTTCTACCGCAAGGTGTGCTAAACGAAACTGACAAAACTAGGGACACATATCTGGAATGTGCTATTCTGTGCATATTAAATTTGTCCGTATTAAAAGACGACAATTATAACACAGTTTTAAGTTACGCCATTTGGTTTTACACTTAATAACAAATCCCACATTTGGAGCACCAAGAAGCATAGTAATTTGTTTGAAAAGGATAATGACAATGTTAAGCTGTTATCCAGCTTCTGTAGCCTTTAGATAAGTGTTTTTAAAAATTGTTTGTTCACCTTGAAGTGTTCTGCAACCACTTTAATACCATGGCGGCCAGGAGGACAATGAGTTCGATCCAACTCCTTCAGTGCTGTAGAAAGCTCAGGCTCTCTGCTGAAATTATTTATCACATTTCCAATAGCTTTCAGGATAGCTGTAGCCTGTCCTATAAACCGGCAGCTCTCCTAGAGAAAGAGAAGAACAACAACTATTTTTAGAAAGATTGCTTTAAGATTTTCTTTTGTTTTCTTTCCAGGCTGTGACAGCACACAAGCTTTTTTTCTGTGCTGAAGTACAAAACATTTCCTAAGCCAAGCAATTGTTATTAATTATATAAACTGTAAAATCAATTAGATCTCTGGTATTCAGAAGCATATAAAATTTTAACAAATTTTAGCTATTAAAATTAAAATATTACCACACTATAAGAGGCAGCACAACATATGTCTGTTCAGGATTTTATTTTTCCTGTATCATTAGTCCTAGAACATTTAATAAAAAATGAGTTCACATAGAGACTTTCTACTGCAGTGATAATAAGCCTCTGTTAGCTGAAAGGAACAGCATCTCTTCTATTATAAAAGGATGAGTACTTGTATCCTGCTGAAAACATCAGATACATGCTGCCCAAAGTATCATTAATCTTCATCAGGATTTCCCTGCAAGAATATGGATACATTCCTGCAGATGACACTCTGCAGAGAAACTGCTGTCTTGAAAAAAGTGCAAAGAAGACCCCAGGATATATTTCTGCTTTACTGTCTTCACAAGGAACAGCTTTTCATCCATGAACTGAAGACAAGGGGATAGTGCAGCCACAAGACATTTTTAGTTGTCCAACTTCTTATATTTAAAATTCTTTGATACAATAAATGTAATAAACTTGCATAAGCTGCTTTAATACCCTATTATTAGGACTGTGAACCTAGAATGCTGTTGCACTCACCTTTCAAAATATTTTGGCACAACTTTGCTCTAGATGATATCCTCCCTCCCTAGAGTGACCATGACAAATATTTGGGCCAACTGCTTGCCAAAGAAATCTCAAAAATATGGAAGTGTTATTTGTCTGGATTGTAGGCAGTGAAGAACAAAGGCTGTAGTAATTACTCCCCTGGGCCTCTTAGCTATGAAAAGTTGTTTGAATCAATTGTTCATAGTATGTGTAAAAGCTACTCTGGGACTCTGTGAGTAATATATGGTCTCATGAGACAAAACAAACTTTACTGATGTGACAGTTTATTTTACTCAGCAGGTATTTTTTAATATATTAGTTTCTGCACATGTACTTTATGACATGCTTCAGAAGGAGAGCTTATACTCTACCCCTGATGTATTTCAACAGTATTTTTAGCATTCTATTTTACATTGCTTTTCTATGTAATGCAAAATTCTACCCAGTGGTTACTTATACATTTAAGAAAATGATTGCAATATCATATTGAAACTGATATTGTAGAATCACAGAGTCGTTAAGGTTGGAAAAGACCTTCAAGATCATCAAGTCCAACCAGCAGCCCTGAACCCCCATGACCACTAAAACATCTCCTAAAGCACCACATCTACCTGTTTTTTGACAACCTCCAGGGATGGTGCCTCCACCACCTCCCTGGGCAGCCTGTTCCAATGCCTCACCACTCTTCCAGGGAAGAAATTTTTCCTCATGTCCAATCTGAACCTTCTCTGGGGCAATTTCACTCCAATTCCTCTTGTCCTATTACTGGTCACTAGGGAGAAGAGACCAACACCCACCTCACTACAATCTCCTTTCAGGTATTTGTAGAGGGCCATGAGGTCTCCCTCAGCCTCTCTTCTCTAGGCTGAACAGCCCCAGCTCCCTCAGCCTCTCCTCATAAGACCTGTTCTCCAGACCCCTAGTCATCCTAGTTGCCCTTCTCTGCATCCTCTCCAGCACCTCGATGTCCTTCTCATACTGCAGTGCCCCAAACTGAACACAGTACTTGAGGTGTAGCCTCACCAAAGCCAAGTACCTCCTCAGTCCTGATGGTCACACTATTTCTGCTACAGGCCAGGATGCCACTGGCCTTCTTGGCCACCTGGGCACACTGCTGGCTCATGTTCAGCCAGCTGTCAACCAGCACCCCCAGCTCCCTCTCAGCTGGGCAGCTCTCCAGTCACTCCTCCCCAAGCCTGTACCACTGCCAGGGGTTGTTGTAGTCAAAGTGCAGGACCCAACATTTGGCCTTATTGAAATTCATGCCATTGGCCTCAGCCAATCAAGCCAATCCAGATCCTTATGCAGAGCTTCCCTGCCCTCAATCAGATTGACACTCTTACCCAACAGAGTGTCATCTGATACATACATACATTTAATTATATTATTACATATTTGAACTCTAAATGAAGATGCCACAGTACTTAAATTTAAAAGTAATTAATAGTCAGAAACACCTCTATTACAACTCTTGACTAGTTCTGGTTATGCATACCTTTTCAAGACTTGACATCACCGTGTCCTCTTCTCCAAAGACACAAGGCACCAAGCTACACAGATGAACATGGTGCCCTATAGGTGAACGTACTGTGAAGAGCAATATGTGCCTCCTGCATTGGGGAAAAAAAAATAATCAAAAAAGCACTTTTTTAAAAAAAACAAAAAATTCAAAGTCACAGCAATTCTTAAGCTTTACCTTTTATGCATTCAGTAAAAATGCAAACCATTCTGAGATTACCTGGCTCTTCAAATCTGGCATTTCTAACTCCTTGCTTCTCAAGAATCTCCAAACCACAGGCAGGTGGAATCAGATAAGTCCCTGTTATTTTATTTCTTTTTTTTTAATTTCTTTTTTTTTAATTATTTTTTTTTTAATTTTTGTTTTCATTTAGCAACATAGCTAGTTCCACTATTTCAGATGGATAGAAACAATTGGGTTTTTTTTTAGTCAGGATCATAGCTAGCTCTGCTTAAAAAACATACTTGTTCTAGAAAGCTTAGAGAAGAAATAAAATGGTCACACATTACTTAGATCATAAATTCCATATTTGCATTAACAAAACAACAAAAGAATAATGGATAAGTGTGTCAGGCGAGATAAATGCTACAAAAAGACCATTTTATGAAGCAAATAGGCCAAACCACTCAACCATTTGTCTCTAAGGTGGCAAACAACAGAAAATCAGTATTTCCTTTTGGGATACACTCAGCTAGGCTCGTTCTTGTTTACTTAATAATATCCTATAACAGATTCCAATCATAAAATAAACCATTTCTAACATAGTTATACCACACAGACAATTCCTGCTCTTCAGTCAACAACATCCTGTAATCCCACTAAAATACTTGAGGAGCCTGCTGATACCAAATTGTGAAGCTCCATGGTTTTATATCATTGTCAGATGGCAATTAGCTGAAGAAAGTTCATCCCAGGCACAGCCTCAATGCATTAACCAGAGACCGGGCAGTGAAAGTGAGAAAAGAGAATTACCCCCCATCCACGCCACACACACACACTTTTTACATTTCATCTTAGTGTGAGTGGAATTTGAAATGCCCCCAGCCCCCAACAGACAGAGGGAATAAAATACCTTCCTGACTTAGCAAGTCATTTCTCACTTGGAATGAAATGGGAGACCAGACAATAAGCCCATTTGCCTCCCACACCTGCTGTAAATTAAAGCTTTCTGGAAGTCTACTGGCTCTGCCTAGAGGAGAGAGAATCAAAGCTGAGAAGCTTATCAGCTTGAGCTGCCTGTATCTCTGGTAGCTTTGAAATTTGCAGGTGAAAAAAGGTATGCATTTTTACCTTCCCTACAGGACAGAGATTTGCAACGTTTGGAAATTACACTGACAATGTGGTGGAAGAGCTAACCTATAAGCACAATAATAAAATTTCCATTTTTATTCTGAATCAAAACAAAATACAGGACACTATTAAGGGTCTTTTATTTAATACCAAGGTATTTTCTTTCTATGCATATTTATTTGAAACCTTGATTTTTTTAAAATCCACTTTGTCTCATCTCTAGTTTTAGAAAAGGACTCAAGTCAGCAACTTTATGCTTATGTCAAGATATGCAGATGTCATCCTCCTTGTTTCACTGGAATAATTTTCAGAAACCAAAAAATACAAAAGGCTCTTGCCTTTATCTATTCATTTTTTAAAAGATTCAAGCAATGGTCTACACTGAATATCTAGAGATACATGCAGAGAAACAAATCATATTATAAATAATATTAAGCACTATGTAAATGTGAAGTAAGATATGTGAGGCTTCATGGATAAGCTCAGAATTTCTCCAGTCATGTTTCATAAATCCTGTCCCAAGAAAAACTATGAAACTTCCCATGGTATGCATAGAATCATAGAATCTTAGGGGTTGGAAGGGATCTTGAAAGATCATCTAGTCCAACCCCCCTGCCAGAGCAGGGCCATCTAGAGTACATTACACAGGAACGCATCCAGGTGGGTTTTGAATGTCTCCAGTGAAGGAGACTCCACAACCTCCCTGGGCAGCCTGTTCCAGTGCTCTGTCACTCTTACAGTAAAAATTTTTTTTCGGATATTCACCTTGAACCTCCTATGCTCCAATTTGCACCCATTACCCCTTGTCCTATCACTGGTCATCACTGAGAAAAGCCTAACTCCATCTCCCTGACACTCACCCCTTACATATTTGTAAACATTGATGAGGTCACCCCTCAGTCTCCTTTTCTCCAAGCTAAAGAAACCCAGCTCCCTCAGCCTTTCCTCATAAGGGAGATGTTCCACTCCCTTAATCATCTTTGTAGCCATACTTTTGAAGTTCCACTAAAAATCCTAATTCTTTAATTATTGTTGGTAGTCCGGAAAACAGAATTACAGAATCACAGAATGGTTTGAGTTGGAAAGGACCTTAAAGATAATCTAGTTCCAACCCCCCTGCATAGGCAGGGACACCTCCCACAAGATCCGGTTGCTCAGAGCCCCATCCAACCTGCCCTTGCACACTTCCAGGAACAGGGATTCCACAACTTCCCTGGGCAACCTGTTCCAGTGCCTCACACTAAAGTATTTCTTCCTAATGTCTAACTTAAATCTCCCCTCTTCCAGTTTAAAACCATTCCCCCTTGTCCTCTCACTACAAGCCCTTGTAAAAAGTCCCTCCTCAGCTTTCCTGTAGCCCCTTCAGCTACTGAAAGGCCACTATGGGGTCTCCCCAGAGCCTTATCTTCTTCAGGCTGAAGTAGGAATTTGTGTTCTAGTTTATTTTTTAGAAAATCACTATGATTTTCCTTGCTAAATGTTCTTAAATAAGACTAAATAATTCAAAATCTTCACAAAGGTTTTGGCAATTATTTTTAATTCAAAGCAATTTTGAAATCTTAGCAAATCCTAGCTATCAACCAGTTTGATATTCTAAAATCTTATGTTCTAGGAAATAAATTCCTAGTTACTCTGCAAAGTAAAACATAATCTCAACCCAGCAGGAGTAGGGAAGTGATCATCTCCAGGTATTCAGCACTGGTGAGGCCACACCTAGAGTACTGTGTTCAGTTCTTGGTCCTTCAGTATAAGAATGACATTGAGGTGCTGGAGAGGATGCAGAGAAGGACAGTGAAACTGGTGAAGGGTTTAGAACACAAGTCTTATGAGGAGCAGCTGAGGGAACTCCGGTTGTTCAGTCTGGAGAAAAGGAGGCTGAGGGGAGACCTCATAGCCCTCTACAACTACCTGAAAGGAGATTGTAGTGAGGTGGGGGTTGGTCTCTTCTTCCTAGAAACAAGACAGGATGAGAGCAAATGGCCTCAAGTTGCACCAGGGTCAGTATAGATTGGACAGTAGGAAAAAAAATCCTCACCAAAAAGGTTATTAAGGATTGAAACAATCTGCCATGGGAAGTAGTTAAGTCACCATCCCTGGAGGTATTTAAAAAACATGTAGATGTGGTGCTTAGGGACATGATTTAGTGGTGGACTTGGTAGTGCTGGGTTAATGGTTGGACTTGATGATCTTAAAGGTCTTTTCCAAATAAATGATTCTATGATTCTGGGATTCTAAGCCTTTCAACTAAAGTGTTAAGACAGAAATGAAGCCTCATACATACCCAATAGGAAGATTTAACACAGTAGCTTTGGTTGCAGATGTATGCATCATTAACACAAGTTCTCCAGGAGTCACACTCTTCCAAGAAAAATGTTCAACCATCAGCACACCTTTTGAAACACTAGAACGTTCTTGTTTAGTATCTAGAATAAGAATGTAAAACTTGGGGGGAGGTATAACAGTAAAATTAAGACAAATACACTTAAGCAGAATCTGTATCTGCTTCATTTAGGTTTTGACAATTTAGAGAAAAGAAACAGTCATCTGAAATGCACAGGTGGTACAGAATATAGTTTATTTGTCCTATTTTCTAGGAGGATGTGTAAATAAGACATCTTCTAAGTTGCTTAGGGCTGTTCTAAAACGCCCTAAAAAAACACTCTGTCCACATGCAAAGGAAGCAAACAGCCATACAACACACTTATATTTATATTACAGTTTAATTATTTTAACAAGATGGTCAGTTTCATTATTTTAATCTTTCTTTGGGTTCTATCTGCTCTTATTTAGATGCACTAAAGTTATGTCTGTATTGAATGTTTAAATGACTGATTAACTTAAGCTGATTGTCATAACATACATTAGCTTTTCTGAATGCCACTCTATGACTTCCATAAAATACAAATGATTTTAATTTAAACCATCCAAGCTGTTGGATCTTGAAATATGCCAGCTATAAATCTACTTAAGAGCTTACAGTGCACGAGTTTAAAAAACACTTCAAAAATAAACCAGTCATAATGCCTATTTTACTGCATTTTTGATCAGCTAAGGCATAAAGTAGCTTGCAAGAGTGGAATTTGTAGAAAAAAAAACAACAGTAGAAAACATGAGGAAATCCATACCAGAAATACACTGATGAAAAGCTTGCAGCCAATTGTGATAAACAGCAAAGGGAGGGATCCTTTCAGGAAAATATTCATCAATAGGAAGTAACAAGTAAGTTTACTTGAGTATTCATATATTCCCTAGAATCAGTTTGATAATTTAATCCTAAACTCTCAAACTATGCTAAAATACAGCGCAGCCAAACACAACAGAAAAGACATATTTATGCATGGGGAAATACAACAGTAATTTGTACTTTTCTGTGTTGAACTTACCTCCAGTATCATTCCAGTGTATTAAGGCAGAAAAGCTAACCAGGATTTCAATGGGTTGCAGACTGTCCACCAATAAATAATAGAAGATTTGGTCACCAGTAGACTGCATAGAAACACAGACATGTGTTCATCTCTCATTTTCATTGAATGCTGTCCACCCTGGCTTATACAGAATATCAATAAGATTTTATATATTGTGACCCTAGATATGATATGGAAAGTAAGTAATGAACAGTCACTACTTCTTCCAAATTGCAGACATGTCACTTAAGCCCAGAGCCTACAGGAAAGCTGTGGAGGGGCTTTTTATAAGGGCTTGTAGTGAGAGGACAAGAGGTAATGAAATAAAATGGAAGAGGGGAGATTTAGGGTAGACATTAGGAGGAAATTCTTTAGTGGTAAGACACTGGAACAGATTGCCCAGGGAAGCTGTGGAAGCCCCATCCCTGAATGTGCTCAAGGGCAGGTTGGATGGGGCCCTGACCAACCTGATCTAGTGAGAAGTGTCCCTTCTCATGCAGGGGAATTGGAACTAGATGATCTTTAAGGTCCCTTCCAACTCAAACCACTCTAGGATGATTCAATGATGATGATGATATTGCACATATAAACCATAATGTTCAATTAAGAAATAAAAGGAAATGGAAAAGTTTATTTAAAGACAATGTATCTTCTTTTATATTATACTCTTCATATGGGCCTCAATTTAGTAGTTCTGCTTGCCAAACAATATTCAATGGAAAACCAAACATTTTGTTTTGAGTTGCAGCTTTCTGATTCTAATTAATTACAGTAAGTTTCAAATAAATAAGAACTCTTTTAATTTGTAATGCATGACTGATTCTGCCTCATTATTGCGTGGCAATATTAGAAACTACGGAATAATTCTGCTAAATTCCTAGAAATTCTTCAAAATCTTAAGGTGAGAGAGCTGCTTTGCTTCAGAACTGTTTTAATATGTCTTCCTACATTCTCCAGACTCATATTTATACATTTTTTGCATCCTGCAATATCAGTGCCATTCACTTTATAGTATAACAAAAAAGGATTATTTCATAAGTCTGATGCTGAATTTACCTAATAGTGTAAATACCTCATCTGATCAATGTAAAAAAAAAAATAATAATAATTAAAAAATAGAATGGTTTTACAGCAAAAGGTTAGTTTTTCAGCACAACAGCACATAGACTTACATAGTCTTGATGTTGATCATGGCTAGCAAAAGTATATTGTGCAGTGATTGGGGATTTTTTTTGTGATGTGATTACAAATACATGGAGGTATGATATTATAAGAATACTACAATTATGAAGCATAATTCCTATAGTTAACCTTCTCAGTACAGGATTTTACATAAACCTGGAGTTTATATTTCAGTCATCTACAACTACACTTTAGTTACAGTATAAAACCAGAGCTGGAACAGGATATTCAAGCATGTTGAATAACCTCCTGTTAACACAAACTAATGGTAGGTTTAAAGAAATACTGTAATTTAAGTATAACTAAAGGGTATTTCCAATTCCTGCAACAGAATACTGCAAGATACTTAAGGAATTAGGATGTGGAAAGAAAATGAAGGGCTATGCTACACAGACCCCTGATTTGGGTTCTAGGTGATAGGTCAAGATGAAGAAGAACTGAAGGGCAGATTCTGCAGGTGAATCATCATTAAATTGAATTTATTCTCTAAATTTTTATAAGGTAGATTTAAGTCATAATAAAGAGAAGGTGGAGGTCTGATTCACGGTAATATATACTCAACTACCAATTCTCATTATTTACCTACTCAATTTTTATATTATTTTGAAGAGCATTACACAACGTTTTTTCTTGTCTTAGATACAGTGAAATACTTCTGGATGCTTGCTAGCCAACATTATCTTTGTAATTTGACTATAGTAATTTTAAGGTATTATTATTATTATTTGAGTAACAGCAGTTCTATGTGAGATACCAATGTATTTTAGATTATATATATTATCTAATTATGTAAGATTTTGACAAAGGTTTTTTAAAAGCACAAAAAAATTCCATACATATACCTTAAAATATGTCTTCTGGTAGTTGTAAGTGTATGTATGTGGCTTGTGGAAAACATACAAGTTCCTAGGGAGAAAAGGAAATAAAAATACATGTAGGAAAATAATTTTCATATAAATTATTTATTTCAAATAAATGTCTATTTCAAAGCATAAAATACCAGTTTTACTTTCATAAATCCCAGATATTTCTCAAAGATGGTTCAACATTTTCAGTTTCATAAAAGGTGAATACAATTCATCTTCAGAAAAAGCTGCTGACATTTATTTCTACTTTTGCTGCACTACTACATTTTTCCACTGGAGGTCAGGCTCCTAATTTGTCCAACTTGAACTATAAATGATAAAAAGCTACTATTACCCTAAACCTTCCATGCTTACCTGAAAATTACTGTAATAAAACTATTGGTAAAGTATCATTGTTAGGAAGAACTATTTTGTATATTCTATTAATGTGTCTTTTCAATTCTCTGGTGTTTGCACATCTTCAGACAGCTGCTCAGTTCCTAACAATTGTTTCTGACCTTGATTTAACTAAGGGCAACATAAATGACTTTTGCTTGAATTGAGGATCGAATCAGATGCAAAATTTTTTTACATAAAAGAAAACTTTTGGTTACTCGTAAAATCTACAGGTATCCTGATCCATTGCTGACATATCAATTCCTATGATGGCTAAAACATTCCTTGCTTCTCAAAGTTGGTATGAACTCTGAACATTCATCTTAGCTTTGCTGTATCTGAGATGTAGGCATGTCAGACAAGGGAACACTTTCAACAGAACTGACTGGTAACATGAAAATCTTAGGCACCTAATTTCTTCTGAGCAATGAATTCTTCAAAGGTCAATCCTTTGTTAACAGCTACTTTATCAGTTCACTGTGAAAACAAGTAAATTCTCTCACATTTAGAGACAGGAATAAGAAACTGACAAATGCTGCATACATTTATTAATGTCACACTAGTCTGCCAAAGGTCAGCAGTACTTTAACATTTGTTAACTTCTTTAAACAAGTGAAGAAGGTGATATTTTAGATTCTCTCTCTATGACACACTGAGCAGGACTTTGAAAAAAAAAGAAATTACTTTGGTCATGATTCTTTTTTTTTTTTTTTTTTTTTTTTTTCTGAAGGCCATATTTTCCTGGACCAGGGGTTTCCTAAAATTAGTCAGCCAAACCCTAACAAGGTCTACAGTCATCTATGATCTTTTATTACTAAAGTTCCAGTAGTGTTGCTGGTATATAAGTTATACATTCTCACTCAGAGAGGGAGCAGAGTTTACACTTATTTATGAAGATAAATTTTCACAAAGAAATATTGGTTAAAAATTCAAATAAAATAACTTGGGTGAATTTTCTCTTGTAAAATTACTCCCCTCCACCATGCCAGATTCTCTAAAAGATCTGTATTGTATTAGGTTTCAGAAAAACAGAAGCTAAAGATACTAGTCTAGCTTTTTTGTGTTTGCAGAGGTACAAATGCCTTGGAATTATTTTGAAAAGGAAGGGAAATAAAGCATCCAGTTGACCAAGCTGAGCTACGCTGATGGCAACAGAAGATTTAAACAACTTATTTTATGCCTTAGAGTTGTGTTGATCAGATGCAGGCTGCCCAGAGGCTGATGGGTTGAGCATGTTAGCATCCTCGTGGCTGCACACTCCATGACCTACCCTTTTCCACCCACATTTCAGTCTGACATAAGCTTTATGAAGCTGGTGGTTGTGTTCTCTGCTGTACTCTGGAGGACATACCCAACACAGTGTGGGGCTGCACCTACAGACTCACTGTCAACAGCTACAGCAGCAAGTCTGGTCTGAAGAGTAACTTTGGGACCACCCTGAAAAGCGAGATACATATGCAAAGAAGATCTGTTGAGAACATACACTTTAATATAGTCAAGTTTTACCTTTTTAACATTGTTACACTGTATATTTTATGGATTAAAGCCAAACCCTCTGTTCCTTACTGGAAACAAACACAGAAGTCTTCAAAGCTAATCCAGGTTTCCTTGGAAACAGAAGTTTTTTCTGACTTGATCTCTTCCTTTGATTTATCCCCTGTCTGGCTGTTGATACCAGCATCATCTGTTTCTGAAACTCGTTTGGCATTAAAATTGATACTCTCTTGGAATTCTTCTGCAGAGACAAGAAGACACATAGAGGCAATACAATGACAATATGCGTATTAAAGGAGTATCATTCTTATATTGAATTTTTTTCCTAAACTTATTGGAACATTTTCCATAAATCTTAGAGTTTAAATATAAAAACTAAAACACTAACCTAAAAAGCTCAAAAGGTGACTGAAAAAAATCTCTGTAGAGATTAATTGCTAACATCTGTAACTGCTTCAGTATGTTGCCTGAATAGACTATCACATATTGAACCATGCACTAGAACTTTTAATATGAGCATGTCAGGTGAACATATATATGAGTTCTGCAAACCTAAGATCATCTATATAAAACAAAAATGCAATGCCTTATCTAAATCTCCTTTTCAGTGAAAGCTGATGGGGCAGTGTGATATTTTTTTATAACTGCCATGATACTGTCTGAAACCAGAACCATAACCCACAGAAGATTAAACCAACAGAATTGTGAAGGACATCAAGACTTGCCTCTGGCACTTACCTAGTAACCCCCTGTGATGCTACTCACATACATCAGTCTAACTACTTGTAAACAGAAATAGATTTTAACTACATTACATGAATTTTTTTGTAGGAAAATCAGAACAATGGTGAGATTAATACCAAAATATCAACACAGAAGTGTCCTGTAGCCACATCTAGCAACAATTTAATAACTTTTAAAGTTGTGTTATAATGTCACCTTCCCTGCCTTTACTATGTGTGATTTATATCAATAGTTATTGAAGATGATTAATTGGGCCCAAAAAGAAGTTTTAAGAAGAGCTCAGAACGGCTGAAAACAGTAGAACAGCTCAAACATGATGAGATATTAACTCAGAATGTTTGCTGTGGAAAAAGATGAGGTAATACCCAAACAGCTAAGGTATAACAAATGAGAAAGCTGATTAGAAAATATATTATTTATATTTAAATGTCTGTAGTAATAGTTCATGATCAGCAAGACACGTAATGATGTGCTGGATGACTAACGAGTTTACAAAATGTAGGTTTGTAAGTTTGCAACTATTTTTCAAGAATTGAATACTCAAAAGAAACACAGCAAAGACCATTTTCTCTTCCTTACACTATGGAAAAACTACCTAGAAGTTTCAAAATCTAGGCTTTTTCTTAGATTTATGCTAACATTGAGTTTTAGGCCTCCAGTGAAATAACCAAAGTCATTGGCTTACAAATGTGCATATCACAAAGAGGATAATTAAGGGGTTCCCAAAGCAGAACTAAGCCCTGTGTTATCTTCCTGTTGCTCATTGTTGCTCTTTGTTCATTTTGAACCTGAGTTCTACAGTACTATCAATAAACCTTCAGGGTCAACAGGGTCAGGAGATCTTTGCAGCCTTCACATGTAGGATATGCTTCATCTATTTAAAAGTCAATACATAAACCTTTTTCTGTTGATTATGTATGCAGACTGGGGTCAGAGGGAAGACAGCAACTCCAGCGCAACTAAAGGAAGGCTAAAACAGTGTCAGCAAAATGGCTGAAGTTTCTCCACTTCTCTTTGAAGAAATGGTAGGAAACTTGTGAGATGTAATAAAAAAGCATATCTTATCCTTTCTGATCGATGCAGTCCAAAGACTGCTGTTCAGAGCTTCCAAATATGAAAAAAGTAAATCAAACTGTTAAGTATCATTTACCTTGTATGCAAGAAGAGTCATTTTCAGCTATAAGAAATTGCAAACACTGGGTGAGATAATGAACATATAATTTAGGGAATAAAATAATTTTTAAAAAATGAAGCGAATCATAAGAGATGTTCAGTATAAGATGGTATTTTAGAACTGACATATGGAAGATAATTGCAGCAAATAATTCTCCATAATTATCATATAAATAATCCTTCAAATAAATTCAAATACTAATGAAATAGACAGGGATTTATTATGAGGTTATTATAAAGTTAAACATTGCAGAGAGCTTCAGAAAAGGGAACAGCATATTTGAGTTTTAAAATTTTATGCTACTTAGAACTCAAGCAACAAAGATTAATGTTACAACCAAGCCCAAAAGAAAAAAAGTAACTTGATGAATAAGGGAAAACACTGAAATACAGAAGTAATAAAGAAACATACATTCTACAGAAAAATAGAAGACAAATAAAACCAAATCAATAACTAAGAGCACAGCAGCATACAAACTAGAATAATTAATCCAAAAAGGGAAGATGAAAGAGTAAAAAATGAACATGGATTAGCAGAATTTATCACAAAAATCCCTATTTTTATGGTAAGAAAATACTATATCGCATGAGACCCCAGAAATTATTAGAAAGAGTAACATTCTTAAACAAGTGAGAAGACACATTTTGAAACAGTTCAGCAAGAAATGCAGTCATTGCTTTTGGTAAGTGCTCATAATTTTTCATGCACTGGCTCTTTACTGATGCTTAAATGGAAATCAAGCCCCTCATAAAACTGACTGCAGTTTTGGGTGCCAACATTCATTCAATATCTGGATGCTTTTTATCTGGCTTTTTGTAGTCATGAGCTTTTCTTACTGGGATGATAGTAAAGTAAATTTACAAAATAAAAAAATAAGAATAAAAAAAAAAAGACATTCATGCACTACAGTACCTGAAATCATCATCAGTTCTTAAAAGTGTAACTGCAAAATGGTACTGAACAAATGTTTTTCAAATTAGTTTAAGACTAATTTTAAGTGTAGGTTTTGAAGAAGCATGACTTACATTTGCTTCAATATACTTTAAAATCATAAATGTATTCACACGTCATTATACTTTTGGTATTACACAGGTTTGAGGATAGGGTTTTTTCCCCCCGTCTTTATAACCTTAACTTGTATTACCCTATTTTGGGATTACCAGAGACAATTGATAGGATGTACATTTTTCCAGACTGAAGATAATGTTAAAAATTGAAATTTTCTAAACATCTTGGGTAAAATTTCTGGTTTAACTACTGTAGAATTTAGGAGGTTGTATACATGCTTCAACTGAGAGGATATTTATTGTATTTTTCAATTGTTGCAAGAGAGGATTGTAGATATTTCACAAAGAACCAATTAAAAACTGAAAAAAAGTTTTAAAAAATGGCATTCTATGCCTTTCCCTAATATAATCAACCTTCAGAAATGCCTAAAAAGCAAAGGTACATTGCATAGGCTTCTACATGGATTGAAGAGTTGAAAACCAAAACCAAGATGAGAAAATATATGAGTCATGGTGTAAATAAAGCATGACACTCATTCACAAGTTTCACATGTCCTTCTGCTCTGAGATTCACTTTCAGAACTCTGGAAAAAGGAAAGGTGTTTTTTGGCAGTCAGTTTTAGGAGAGGCTGATGTTGCACCAAGCAAATCTGATTACTTTTTAAAAGGCAGTTTTTATTACTCCTGATCAAATCCTTAAAACATTCACTTAAACAAAGAAGTATTAATTTTGAAAAATTACTCAGACTGAATATACTTGAAATACTAATTTCAATCACATGAAAAGAGTAAAGGTTATTAAAATGGAAGTTGTCTTTTTTTGTTGCCTTCTCTTTCAGAAAAAAATTATTAAAATTGTATAATTCACAGTGATTAGAAAAAGAGCTATGTGTACCAAATCCAGTATATTTTTCTGAAAAATAACTTATGAAAAGTGTTATTTTTTTTCAAAATATTTTTTGTAAGTTAGGGATTTTTTAATACCAATTTTAAGACTCTACTGTATGCAATTACACATGCTATTACCCATTCTCCAAAATCTTTTCCTGTAAAGCCAACACACATAAATAATACTGTTGATATTTGTACATCAGGATTAACATTAAGGTAAAACAATAGAATGGCAGAAGTCCAAATACAAACTTGAAACACACTTACCTTTACTGGCAGTTTCTTCACTTTGCTGCCGAAAGGAGATGGTCTCCTACATAGTGAAAAAAAACAAAACCTAACAATGGTGATTATACTATTGCATTATTTTGTTAAAGCAAATACTTGTTTTTGGAGAAGTTCTTCTTGAGATGGAGGAACAAACTAGAAGTTATTATAATAGTATATATATTTAAAACAACAACAACAACAAAAACCAATAAAATTCTCTGTAACACCTACATATACATCACTAATATACAGACTGATGTTTTTCTATAGAAGTATGTGTGATCTGGAGTCTGGGATAAAAGCTATTCCACATGCCTGCTTCTTTGTTATTAAAAAATGTTATTCGATATTACTGTTCTTTGACAATAAAATAAGTTCTATTTTATGAACTAATTAGTTTTATTCTAGAACCAGTTCTGTTCTTTTCTGTTTTAAGTTTCCATTCTTGGAAAGTATATGGAGGGCTCCTTTTTCAAAAGGCATTTCTTGCTCTGCAAGTGTACAAACTTGTCATTGGCAACAGCATGTCTGATGGCTACCGCATTTTTTGTTTTCTATCAGCTGCATAAATAAAAAGTAGCCTGCTCTTTTTGAATGTTTTGGCAAACAACTCTATCCTGGTTAATCCCATTTCCAAGCTAGAGCTGCTGAACTAATATGAATGCTATAGTCACTTAGTTTTAAGTCAAAATCAAGTTATCCAGCCTTTCAGAAAGTCCACTTATTAAAATTGCGAAGAGAGAGTCCTTTTCTTTGACAGATTAAGATCTTCCATACTATTAAAAATGCATGCCTTGTCATCCTTCCTTCTCACTGCCATCTTACTTGCAATATATATATCTCTGTCGTAGAATACGAAACACCAAATCACTTAATCCTTATAATTTAATTGCAGCATTTTTTATTGAGAGAATCTGAAAGTCACATTTTTTACACAGTACAAATCCTAAATTCTGTTGTGGGCTTTTTAAAGAATGTTCATGAGCCAAAGCCGGGGACAGATCTAATATAAATAACAACTAAGAGAAAAATATGTTGTTGAAATTGTTGTTTGTTGAATAATTTGGTAACTTAAATATATTATGTCTTAGGTGTCTCTTTTTAGATTAATTTCTAGTGGAAATGAACTGAAAAGGACACAATAGGAATTTGCAATAGCCCACGTACTTCAGCTCCTGCTTTCAGACTTCTGTACATACAACTGCGCAAAACAGAAATCATGTTATTTTCACTTATCATGTGACTTTGAAAAATTCACAACTCAACATTTGGATCTGAAAAATCTGTAGCAATACCTGGACTATCTCCCCCCTTTAAACGCCGCATAGAGCTGCCATATCTCTGCATGGGAGTATACAACTTGCAAGATTCCAATATTGCCAAATTTCTTATAGGAGTCACAGGATTTACCAAACAGGTGCATGTCAATGGCAACTGTACAATTTAGCAAGTTTCTTCTCAGAAATCTTGGCCATGTCAAAAATATACAAAGTATCAGATCTAGTGTAGAAGCCTTGGAGACAGTAAAAGTTTGCACCACAAATCTAGCTAGCACTTCCTGCCAAACATTGTTCATGGACAGTACACATGATCCATGCTTCTAGTATGGACATGTGGCATCTTACCATAGAGCTACTATGTTGGTATCAACAGTTGGCAGCAGGAACCCTGGAGAGATACAGAAAATCCTCAAAAATTGCTCAGATAGAATTTCCGGTAAAGGAGAAGAACATACCCTGTTGCACCAGGTCTGGCTGAGATGGAGTTAGTTTTCCCCACAGCAGCCCTGTGGTGCTGTGCTCTGTACTGGTAGCCAGAAAGGTGTTGATTTGGCTACTGCTGAGCAGTGCTTGCCCAGCATTAGGGCTGTCTCTCCAACAGTTCCTCCTCACCAGTAGGCTGGGGTTGGGCAAGATCTTGGGAGTGGACATAGCCAGAAGAGCTGACCCAAACTGACTGAAGGGATATTCCATACCATATGACATCTGCTCATCAAAAAAAGCTAAGAGAAAGGAGGAGGAGGTGGGGCATTCATTATTACATTTGTATTATGGACCAACTGCCGTGCATACTGAGGCCCGACTTCCCAGGAAGCAGCTGGACATTGCCTGCTGATGGGAAGTAAAGAATTAATCTTTTATATTCCTTGACTTCAGCTTTATTAAGTCATCATTTTTTTTCTGTAAAAAAAACAACAGTCTTGTTCCAAAAGTAAGCTATCTGAATATAATTGTAGATGAAAGAATAGAGCTTAAAATACACAGAATTGTAGAATCATAGAATAATCAAGGCTGGAAAAGACTTTCAAGTTCATCAAGTTCAACCACCCACCTACAACCCCTAACCACTAAACCACCTCCCAAAACATCACATCTCTCTGTTTTTTGAACACCTTCAGGGAAGGTGCCTCTACCACATCCCTGGGCAGCCTGTTCCAATGTCTCCATCATTCTTAAGACTAAACATCCGTTTTAAATCTACCTCCAAAATGACAAAGACAAAAATATTTCTGAAGATTCAACCTTGTATGAAATTCCTAGGTTTGATGTTTATGGGACAGTTACAGCATCAAAAGGTTTTGCACCTACAGAAATACTTGGATGCAGTCCTTTTATGCCTGCTCCTGAGTCACTGTTTTCACTAATTGCAATATCAGTTCTAGTTTAGCTGTGATGTGGGAGAAGGCAACAGAGGTGGTTTTGAAAAATGGCAGTGGTACAAAAGAACAAGCAGCTGCAAAATTGTGCACGGATTGAGGTATAGGAGTTGGCTTTTATTCAATCTCTAGTGCTGTAGCTGTCCCAATCCATTTAAGCAGGCAGATATGTGCAGGCCCATCAAAAAGATTCTCAGTAACACAAGTGCCTAATTGAGAGCACAAGTGCCTCTTCTAATTCATGTGCCTCAGAAGTCATATATACTTTTTTCCTCAGAAAATAATCAGGAAATTTTCTTTTGGTGTAGATTGAAATAATTTCCAGAACTATAACATCTGTAAAGAAAACAGAATTGTTAATTTTCTACCAGTGTTTCCAGTTGACTCAGTATCAGACTACTGGGCTTTGAGTTTTTCCTTAACACAAAGGTGGATAAGGAATAAAAATGAAATGAAAAATCAAATTCTGAAAGCCTTCCAGTTCAGGAATTACTTCAGTTTATTCCACAGATAATTTTTTTTCCAAAAGGAACAAGCCAGAACTTTATTTTCACATGCATTTCAATGCATCTTAAACATACAAATTTCTTACCTTCCTATTGAAAAATAATAAAAATAAGCCACTTCATTAAAGAACTGGGCCTTGTTTTTTGGACTTGCTACTCAAAAAGATCCACAAAATGTCTTCTTAATAACAGTGCAATTCAGGATCAATTTAAGTGTGAAAAACAGATATCTTAAAATATTTTTTTTCCTAATGCAAATTCCCAAAGCTTTCAGAACTGTAGAATCAGAGAGAATGGGAAATTCAGAGGGAAAGAAAACTTTGAAAAAATCAATAATAAAGCATTTCTGTTCTTTGCCATAAGGACTCTGGGGACATGAGGGATAATACCATGTCTTTCAACCCAATATTCTTCAAAGAAGATATATCCAGCTACTAAAATTTTCTCTTTCATTTATCACTAGACTGTTTCTGTGACAACAGACTTTAGAAATGGTGAATCAGATATTCAGTGATGTAACTTATACAGTTAACATTGGAGAGAATATGCCAATTTAAACTTAATGAGGACCTGGCACAGCAGCTGACTGAATTTCAGTCAGCATAAATCATAAAACTGCTGCACCCCAAAGATTTACCAAATCTATAATAAAGGTTTTATAGTGGAGGTCTCCTGAATAGCAATCACACAGTTTAAAACAAAGTTATTCACACTCAGTATACTACAGTAGAAAATTCTACAAATCAGCAATAACTTAGTGAGCTGGGGATACCAAAATTTCTCCTTTGGTGTCTGATTTTTTAATAATTAATTGATTTTTTAAAAAAGAAAAGTATAAATGTATATTGTTATTTCAAGCTTTAAATCTACAGAAAGAAAGCTCTCCCAGAATGAATATTCCAGAGATATCCACATAATTTTATTGATTAAAAGACTTAATATGTGAAATAAATAAGATTTTTCTGCAATTTAAAAAAATTATATACTTTTGAAATCT